TGACTTGGTTGCCTCGGTTGAGGTCCTGGTAGGTGGCTAGATCATCGGTGGTGGCACTGGAGATGCCGCTGCCATCGTGAAGGAAGCCGACGTGGAAGAGGCCCGTGGCGGGATCGGTGTAATGCAGGCAGGGGTCACCGATCTGGCCATTGGGGGGCAGGAGGTGGGCGCGGGGACGCCATGTTTCGAAGAGGGAGCCATTGGGCAAGGTGGAGAGGTTTGGAGGAGCGACATTGTAGTCGATGACAACGGAGGCCCGCGTCTGCATGGAAGGAGAGGCAGCCGCAGCACTGCCGAGCAGTACGGAAGCCGTTTGAAGCTTCATGTCGAGGTATCGCAATGGAGGGGACACTCACTTCCCCTCCCTTGGCAGAGGGGAAAAAAGTGACACTTTATATGGCATGTTTTGCTTGATGCAGGGGTGCCGGGGAATTTCCGACGACTAGAACTAGAATGGTTGGAATGCTGGATGAATAGTCCGTATCCTCGGGGAAATTGAGGATTGCGGAGGAAGTCCGCTTAGGGTTCGCGCGGGGAGATTCAGCGTGGATTCCCCGAGATTTCCCCCGGGTTCCCGCAATGAGGTTATGATACTGCCGATCTTCGAATGGGGACCCGCTGAGGTTCTGTTGACCTGATTGAACTTACTTGCTGGGTAGGTAAGTTTGCTCGTGGAGTGCTTTTGTTTAACCGTAAAGAGAAAGTGAGAGCCGGAGGTTTGTCGGTATGACGAGGTGGAGATCGAGTGGGAACGGCAGTGAAGAAGAGATGAAAAGTGGGCAGGATATAGGAAGAAAAGGTTTAACGACTCGTATAGGACACGAGGTGCTGCTTCAAGTATACTATTAGAGGTGTTTTGGGCGAACGGTGTGAAGAGACTTCATCGCGCAATGTGTGCCTTGGTCTGACTTGTTCGCACTGGTCCGTCACACTCGCAGCGATGATGAGGGTTCAGAGATCTCTTGTCATCGGAGGGAGATAAGTCCCAGGCACCAAGGTACTCCTTGTTTGAAGCTCATTATCAATCAGTCTGGGCCGGAAGAGGGTCGGGAAGCTGATTGCCGACACGGCATATGGTGGAGACTGCGAGGTTTGTGACATCGGGTCAGGAAGGTCACCGAATAAGGATCAATATGCTCTGTGAGACGCGACTATCGACCATTACATGAGTTAATCAATACTTATCGGTATCTCTTGTAGGGTTCCTGTTGCAATTGATGAAATCGGATACATGAAAGAAATCGACACATTCGGTACGAAAGACAGAATCGGTTGGTGATATTTGGGGCAGACACGAGAACGCACCCTGGGTCATGAACCCTTGTGCACATTGAACAAGTAAGGGCGTTCCAGGCGATGTAGGTCAAGTTGCAGTTGGTGGATCCATGACAAATGATATAGAGTAATGAAATATTGGGCGAGGACTGAATGTTGGGCAAGCACTGAATACATATGTGTCATTGCGATTTCTGCAACATTCTTCTGGTTTATCTTATACTACGCCGGCATATGCTGTCTCCTTACTTACCGCAAGGAATTAGAGCTGAGGTTTCACTTGTACATGGAAAGTAGAATAGGAATGGGCTGAGAAAAGAGCTACTCGGAGTTACATGACACAATCGTGGACATAATTTTCGGAAAATCCGTGCTTCATAAAAGAACCTGAATTTATCTGATATTTATGTCTGAAGGGCTTTGTCATTAGAGAAATAGAAATATATATGTATTTTTTTTTTCTATTTTATTTTTATTTATTTATTTATTTTTTATCATTTTGCCGAAATGACGCCGTACCGTAAATATTTGATCTATATACCACTCAAAATACCATGTCTAACAGCATGTCTCTTATAAAACTAGGTAACACCCCGTTGCCTGCTATTCGTGGTGTCCTCTATAATACTTCAAGTGTATAAAAAAGCATTTTCACGGTGTGGTGGCAGCAACTGACGGCGATCAGAACCATGCGCAGATTAGTCTTGAACGGGTCGAAGAAGCCGCCGGACACTACCAATTTTGTCAATAACAACGAATGATGTTGGATATATTATCCTGGTAATCGCTTTTAATAGTGGTTTTAGCCCAAGCTAAAAAAGACAGTTTTCCAATCGGAGAGGCCCATTTCCAGTGGGGTCCAGAGAAACCTTTCGAGACGCATCTTAGGGAGATCTAACAATGCGAGATGGATTGGCCAGGCGCAAGATAGCTAGAGGAAGACATGTAAGAAGGGCCAGCCGAAACCGCAGATTCTGACCAAGCTACAGCTGCAGAAGGCCTTTTTGAGGTCAGAGCATCAGCCCTACAGTAGTCTTCGCTAGATCTAGCTTTCTGTTTCATTCAGGTAGCCTAGCCCTACGGTATACTTCAGGTTCCAGACAGTTGGAGATAATAATGTATAGAAACATTCAATGTTGCGACTGAGAATTTAATTACTCAAAACGCTGCCTAGGACAGACTGTCGGTCAAAGGTCCTGTGCGAGTCTTCTACGATGATGCATCTACTATCGATGTTGACGTGTCCCTAGAGCTTCTCGTGGATGAAAGATAAAGGTTGCGTCATGACAACTTTGATGCATGGCATTCCCAAACGTGTCCAGGGTTCCCTGAAGTTCCTAACTATGATTGGTTACCATAACCTAACACTCTATGCAGCCTTCTATTGGCGAGTCCCAGTGTGATGCTACAAGGATTGGCTCGATCGATGTCTCTGACATGTCCCAACTTAATTGGTCGGATGGGCGCAGGGTTATTTAGGTCCAACAGGCAATCTGTGCTGACAAGGCTAGCAGGTGGAATGTTTTGTGGCAGGTACAGTCGGCTTTTCTCACATGATTCTATTTGTACGATAGAGGGCTATCCCTTGACCGGCTGGCAGATTGATAGACGCGTTTGGCGTATCTAGCTTGTTCGACGGCAGAAGGTCACTCCCTATGCAATTTGCTGCATGGTCGTGAGAGCACGTCTAACGGAAAGTATTGGCTTGGAGCGCGGTGATCGCTCTGGCGGTCTCCTGTCACAGATTTCATGTTGGGCTGGTGTCATGAAAGAACCAGAATCCACCTAGTGATCCTATGCGCACACTAGCAGCGCACTAGGTGCTAGTAATGGAAGGGATCCTGGTCAAAGTCGGAGATCTAGCGACCAGGCTCCAAGATATTGGAATCGTGTATCATCCATTTTGTACAGCAACTGAGAGAACGATCATATACTCCGTGGGATCGGGAGACATCAAATCGGGCTGGAGGGCCATCTCATCAAATTTTCTCCAAGTGAGCCTCACCCCAGTCTCATAGTGCATCGAAGTCACACTGATCTCGGCGTTGTTCGCAAGCATGGGTGCCTCGCGCTAAAATCAAGACGATGTAACTTTACTGCATGGTGGCGGGTCAGAGGGGAGAGCCCAAGGTCGTGATAGCTCTTAGTGGAGCAGACACAAGGCCTGGGGCAAGATAGATCAAAGTAACAACTAGCATCTGGAGTGCTCCCCCCAATCAGACACCTAGTCCAGGATAAAGACAGGAGCGGCCGTTAGTCACGTTGGAAGAGGCTAGACAGTATACTGTTTTAATAGCGGCGAACAGGCAACTGAAAAGTCAGATGGAGAAATTCTCGAAAGCTGACGGTGATAGCGGCTTAAATTTTCACGTCGCCAATGAACATGGCGACAAAGTCTCCAACCTCCCATTTAACCGCCGAGATGCTTGTGACGTTGGAGATGTTCAAGGATTCGCCGTGGGAGGAACCGGTCCCCGTTGGTCCCTTCTGGGATAGTATAGACTACTCGATCGCTCGCAATTTCCTCGGCAGCTTTACACAAGCCGAACTGGCACAGCTACCCATCGATGACGACAGCACCGCTGGCCAGCAATCTAAGCTCATACTCCTCCTACGACTCCTGCAGAAGAAATTAAATGAAGAAGAAGCCGCTATTTCTCCCCAATCCAGCCTCTATACCAGCAATTACCAGCAATGGTACCGATTATGGCAAGGGATCTATATCCTTCAAGACGAGTTGAACCTCCCCGAGGCGGAACAGACTGCTCGGATGCTGGTGGACAAGATACCATACAAATCGAATCCAGTACCATCGCATATGCTAGCAGAGCACCTGGTAAAAGTTGGCAAGTACGAAGAGGCAGAACGGACCGAGAGACCGATCCGCGCATGGATGGATGCCCGACCGCATTTGGGGCCGTCCTCCCCACAGGCGCTCAACGCCCGTCGGCTTATCGCTCAAGCCTTGTGGGGACAGGGACCGTCGAGGCGCTCGGAAGCCGAAGCTCTAATAGCCGAGATTCATTGGATCGTCGAGGAGATGGGGGAAGGGCAATTTGCGGTTTACCAGGCGGAAGAGAGAAGGCTGAACCAGGTGATGATGGCCACTCTCCAGTGACTCTGTTCATATCTTTAGATGATTATCCCTAGGTATAGGTACCGCGAAGGCCAAGTCTCGATGCCTCGCGTTGTGCTTTCTCCCACAATCGTTACTAGGATGTGCGAAATGGAGCCATCAAGCCGTGTGGCAGCTTCCTGGTGCATGGGCTTGTCGCGCGCCGCATACAAACGTGCGCGTAGGTAGATACTGAAGCGTGCGGGAAGAATTTAACGGTGTAAGAACAGGAGGACTGTCATACATGCAACTGAAATTTTGCGCATTCTTCTAAGTAATCTATTGTTGGCGATATATGTCGTGACGGAAGTATTATACAGGAGAAAGGGCAATTAAGGAGCGCGGGATTAGAGTCGGTCGAGCCGGCACAGGTATTATAAGGAATGTGGTCTGGCGAGGGTGGATGTATATGTCGATCGAGGAGTCGCAGGAAAAGGGTATATTCGGGAAGGAAGTGGATGGAAGGCAATTATTCGGCGCTGATGCACTTTTCGCAGCAACTGCAACAGTGGCAGCAGAAGCAGCAACTGAGCGAAACCAAGCAGTCAGCACATGGAAATACTCAAATAAAATAGGGGCAATTCTCGTATGGGACTGCGGGGGCGATCACTCACGCATCCTCCGGTCCGTCACCACCACGCAGGCGCAATTCCATTCCTTCGCCAAGGGACTGAAGTGGTGTTTGTTAGTTCTCAAGTCTGCGGTGTTGTAGCATAGAATTAAATCCAAGCACGTACAGGCTGATCGGTGACGATCTCATCCATGGTGGGGGCGGCCGGGCTCTGAGGTTGGTTCATGGTGAGAGTGACGGGATCCCAAGTCACCTCCTGAACCTCCTCCTGTCCGGAAGGACGGAACCAGCTCATCACAGCATCAAACATTATGTCTTTAAATATTCGAGCGGTATTTCAACCTGCAATTGAGTGATATGGAGCAAAATTGACCGTGAATTGTTGCCAAGGAGCGAGCGATAAACCCAAATAAACGAGTGTCGGGGTGGATGGGTGTAGGCAAAAATTACAAGGAGCGGCGGATTGAGGGAGAAAAGAAGAAAATGAAGAGGATGGAAGAGGAGAGAGGATGACAGAAAGGGCTAAGACGACACCATCGACGCCATTTAAGATTGATCCCGCGGACTATGCGGAGCTATGTACAAAAGGCTCGCATTTTTTTCCCCTGCTTCCGCAGGGGGGCGCTTTTCGCTGAACGAGGGGACAGACAGCCAGCCTAGGCAAAGAGAAGAGTTCCGATAAAGGTCTCCATCCAGGAAGCTTAACCCGATCGGTCTGCTCTTAGTGGCCGAACCATTTGTGAATGGCTTCGTCGCCTGCGACGAGTCCTTGCTGTCAGGGCTCCGCCCGGACATACGTAACTTAGCGGAGTCGAATTTTCACGGCTCTGACGGGTTGCCGTTGTCCGAGAGGGGAGGCCTACGTAGACCACCTCATCCCCGAGGACCAAAGTGGTTAATCGCGTGGACAGGGAGGCGCATGCTTGGTGGAGAGGGGAATGTACAATGGTAGAAGCACTAGGGAAGGCTAGGAGTTGGCACTATTCAGGTCCAGCAATTTGGTTCGTAGATAGGGAGGAGATAAGTTCGTCCAGAACGACGAAGAAAAATAGTGAGTAAGTCAATGGAGGAGACAAGAGCTAGGAGATCCTCCGCCTTAGGTGGTGCTGATTGGCAGAGATGGCCATGTCAGAAAAGCTGGGGAGGTCAATCCGGCCAGCGACCCGACAGGAATCATGATGGGAAGAGATTTGCAGCTGGAAGACTAGTTAGTGGTGAGTGGATACTAGGACCAGAGAGGAGAGCTGAGAAAGAAGAAAGTCAAGAGACTCAGGCAGGCAGGCAGCAGTCCGACCGGGAAATTTGCTCGATTGGGATGAGGTTTGGTATACACTTTCCTAAATAAAGACTAGCGCACGCCACTAGCGTGTATTAGGGTAGAATTTCGACCAATTATATTTTACTAGACTCGTCAACCGGTATTTTTATTTGTTTATCCGCCAGAGGAGACTACTATTCCTCTTTGGGCGGTGTCTCAATAGGCATCTGCATTTACTGAGAGACTGCCCTATCGACGAAGTACTTATCATTTCATTTCCATCCACTACTAACTATCATTTGTATGTGATCCAAAGGAGGAGCAAATTAGGAGGGGCTCGTACCCCTGGTTTTATACCCTTGATCCTCAGGGTTTCTTCAAAGGGTATCGTACTATTTAATTAATGATAATAAAAGATGCCATTCGCCATCGTACCTTTCAGTTCATCCCAATATTACCTAGTGGTGTCAGTACTTCCTTTTACATTTCTGCACGAAGAATGTCAGTGCGGCGTTAAGGAGTGGGCTCACCATCTGCAAACTGTGGAGCCCCCTGATGCTATGAGCCATCTGGTGTTCAAGAATAGTGTGATCGACACAATCAACTTGCGACGCCCGTCACCACCGCAGGTATACCAGCGTACATTAATACCACTGAATAGCACCTGAATAGTACAGAGTACATGTTGCTTGATGTTGTGTTACGCGTTGGGACTCGCAATCCTGGCGATCCTTCCAGTTTCTCTACGAGTGTTGTTAGGCGGAGTGCACCTAATAGATAGTTCCCCCAGCCTGAAATTTAACCCACGCTCAAAGAGCTGATGCAGCGCAGAAATTTGAACTAATATATCGATCAAGGATCGTGCCTCACTGCTGCAGATGTCGAGTGTGGCCCAACGTCCAATGGCAGAGAATTTTTTACGGCAAGCAAAGGGTAGCATCTCTGGCATGTGGTCCAGTGTCACCTTGTCTCGGGCGTACCAGAGTTGCTAGAATCTAGCTCAAGTTCTAGAATAGCAGTTAAGCCCGACGGCCATCCTTCTATATTGCTTCTGCCCCATTACAACGGCCGTTCAGCCACTCCGATGTCAGCCTCCCGCCCGACAAGCTTTTTGGTCGGATGCTAAGCTTTATTCTGGTGCCTAATCTTATCCGTGGACCTTGCTTCAGTCCGAACCATGCCACGCAACTCTAAGCAGTGAAATGATGACAGCTCAGAATCAATCATTGTTGTTCGATCACCGTAAATTTTCTCTGTTTCATCTTTCAGCTTACTCTGGATCTGGTCTTCACACCGCGGATTCTCCAGACACCTCGAGAGGATTGCTGACATCTACACAAGACTTTGCAGAACCATATCTCGAAATGGTGTTCGCAACACCACACCACTTCAAGCTAAAACTTACATTGACGGCAGTCGAGCGGAAATGCATACCGGTGAACATGCACGAATCATCATGCGAGCCCATGCAAGCATCTGCAGAAATTGACATATGGCTTCTCTCTACCAATATCTACGTCTAAAAGCGATAGTGCTGGACATAAAGAGTGTTTCCCAAGTCAGTCAAGCATACGGTTGCCAAAGACCCCAGATGATGGGTAGTTTAGCTGCGCACCCACGCTAGAGCAACTATACAGTGTCAGTAGTGTGTGGCTGTGGTGGCGGGAGTTTGACCAAGACATAGACTGTTTGATTCAACGCCCGTCTGCATAGTGTATGTGTTGACCCCTAATGGCAGGTCATTGCAGTATGACATGTGCCGTCCGACCAAAAATTGGTTTACTGCAGCGAGAATTTGGACTGTGGATCAGCCACAACCGTCTCCCGTCGAAGATCGACCTAGTGTTAATCTGCAGAGACAACTCGCGACTTTGTTCGATGTTCTCAGTTCAGAAGCTTTGCATTCTACGGCTTTCCAGCTGGCAATTGTTCATTGGCTTGCTTGCACTGTGTGCTATAAGCTAGGTGAACAAAAGAACTGGCACCGCTGATGGTATTACCTTTGACACCAATATGAAGGTCTGTGAAAAGAGATTTTGCGCACGAGTGAGACATTGCCACCCAATTCCACGTCGATCTTCTTCTCGCGCGACTGAAGACTGCGCCTTAGTATCAATCGAGTCAGTTAACCTTTCGGCTTTGAAGGGAGATGCGGGAAAGATAAGCGTTGGAGAGGCTGACCGTTTGTGGCGGTTTTACCAAACAAGGAAATGTCCCCCCTGCCGGGTGTTTATTGGCCAATCAGGGGTCTTTTGGGCGATCAGTTACCCGGATAGGGCTTGTTGACCCCTGGGACTAAGCCATATGTGGCTAAGAGATGTCTCACAGTCCTTCAAAATGACCTCACCGCTTTCCTTTTCAGCTTGTATTGGGGCTGCCAAGATCCCACGGGGATTGCCTCAATGGGGAGTCATCGTCGCCCAGATGGAGTATCACGCAGATCTTGATCAGATCTTCTCCCTGGCATGGAGAGAGAAATCTCCATCGCCTCCTACAAAGACCGGATGTGTCTTACAGTTCCCCCAACCGGCCAGCAGTCATCATGAAGGCCCTCAAGGATGAGTACGATTTGGGGTACCGCAATCTCGAGGACCCAAAGGAACCCTCGACCCGCCCGTTATCGACCTCCAGACCATTGCTCCTGCAGAATCAGACCTCGAAATTCTGGTTGTCAGGCTGGACCTGGGAGATTGTGAGCTGTGTCATTGCCGTGGCGGCTCTGGTCGCCATCATCATAGTCCTCTACAACTATGATAACCGGCCTATGCCGGACTGGCCATATGGCATCACTCTCAATGCCGTGATTTCCGTGCTGGTGACCCTAATGAAAGCGGCCATGATCTTCCCAATTACCGAGGGACTGTCGCAGTTGAAATGGTCCTGGTTCAACCAGCGAAACCAACTGAGCGACCTGTCACTACTGGACGCGGCCAGTCGCGGAGCTTTCAGCGCCACCTTTGTTCTGTTCCGCTTTCTACCTCGGTATGTGTCTCTCACCAGTATTAGTTATGCCCGACATATAGTTTTAACAGATAAATAGTCACTTGGTATCTATCGGATGCTTTATAATGGTGGTTGCTGCGGCCATTGCGCCGTTCGTGCAGCAAGTCATCAACATCACATCGCAGCCCGTCCACTCGCCCGATCATTCCGCCATTCAAGTTTGCAATACAAGCAGCTACGTCGACTATGGCGAAGGCGCCGGGCCGGGTATGAACAAGGTTCCTCTATCCACAACCGGGGCCATCTACACCGGTATTTTTCAGAGTGAAGGTCCTGACAGCAACACGGTTACCATGACATGTCCCACGGGGAATTGCACTTTCACCCCTTATCAATCGCTCGGGTTTTGCAGTCGCTGCACCAACATCACCGACAGCCTCACCCTGCATAAAACATCGGTTGTTAGTACCATGGCCAATTACAATTACACCCTACCCAATGGATTCAGCTTTGAGACCTCCTGGAGCATGATGTATCTGATGAACGCTACCAATGGCCTGAACCTCGTCAAACTCGACACCGAAAACCTACCAGTGATACTGAACTTCACCGCCATCAGCGCTGCCGGCTACGGTGTGCCACCACAAATCAGCGCCACCGAATGCGCCCTCTATTTCTGCGTCAAGACCTACGAAGCCTCGGTCCAAAAAGGCCGCTACAACGAAACCCTGGTATCTACAGCCTCATCCTCAAACTACTCCTCCACATCAGCGACCAGCGACATCTCTCTCACACCGGCAACATGCTATGTGAACGGCACCAAACACCCCGACCGCACAGACTGCACCTACAACGTTAGCTGGCTCAGCCGGCTAGCCATGTACAACTCTCTGACTCCCTTGCTAAAAGGCAAGGGCTCACTCTTCGTCAGCAACCGGCCCGACTGGTCATCTGACACTATGCGTGCCGTATACGGCGTAGAGGGCAATTACACGGACATCAACTCGATGTTCCAATCACTCGCGGGCGCATTGACAACCCATGCGCGCAACGCCGTCTGCAAGGCGTCCGTCAACGGCACGACCTGGACTGTCGAGTCATTCGTGCACGTCAAATGGCCGTGGATGATTCTCCCGATTGCACTGATGGTCTTGACCCTCGTCTTCCTCATCACGACGATAGTCCGGACGCGGAACCAGTTTATCTGGAAGTCGTCGCCGCTGGCGTTGTTGTTCTCGGATGTGGCTGTGGAGGCACCGCACGCATTCGAGCGCAGTCCGGATTTGACCCATATGGAGGCGGCATCACGCAAGATGAAGGTGTGGTTGGAGACGACGACAGGAGGGGCGAAGTTGAAGGCAGTCGTGGGGTGATGCTACTACCACTTTGATGATGAGATATCCTATACCCTGTATACTAGTCATAATGTGTATAATATGTAATATTGTCTATGAGCAGAAAAGCAATTATGATTATGAAGATGATACCTGGAGACAAGTTCATGAGACATAATGTTATGTGAAATAGTAATGAAGTAACATCCATATTCTGTACTCCTCATTGATCCGGTATGCTTGGCAAACTGGAGAATCTCCCCCCTTTTCGTGGTCCGTATCCCGATGCTCCATTATTGATCCTCAAAAATCTACACTACGTCTTCATATTAGCAAAGGAAAGAAAATCCAATGATGAGGAATTTATATTATACACTAACTATATTCATATGTTCCATCCCCGATATACCCACTCAACATTTGCAAATCAAAGTGTGTGTGCCATGGTATTAACCCATTTAGCACTCCTCGGTAGTGCACTCCTGAACCTTGAGGTAGGCAGCCTTGTACTCCGAGCTGTGAGCACCGTACCAGTAGACCTCCTTGGAAGGGACATCGCCGTAGCCATCAACAGCGAACCAGGCCCTACCGCCCTGAGTCAGGTAACCCTGCTCGTTGACGCCGAAGCCAGTGGTGTTGGCGTTGTCGGGAACAGCGCCGGAGTGAGGCTGGGTGAAGGAGATGGGCGAGACGCTGTTCTCGATGATGTACAGGTTTTGCCAGGCGGTGGGGACGGCGCCCTTGGCGAGGTAGGTCAGACCACCACCGTTGGCACCGCCGGAGACTGGTTATCTCATTTGTTAGTAAGATGAGGTTTGGTTAAGGAAAGGGGGTTGGCTTACGGATCAGCTTGGAGGTGCTCTTGGAGGTGTCGTTGCCGATGTAGACGTACTCTGTTATTTTGTTAGTATAATGGTAGATGGGTATCCAGATCGGAAGGGAAGCATACGGCCATCAGTGAGGACGGGGGTGTTGTCCTCGGCGATGAGGGAGAAGCGCGCGGGGAGAGAAGCGGCAGAGACGGCGCTGGCAAGGCCGGCAAGAGCAACGATGGAGAACTTCATTTTGGATGGAGAGTGGAATTGACTGTGGTATTTCACGGAAGATGATTGTTCTGACGGTTTGTGGTTTTGATTGATGGCAATATGGGAGGTCTTCAACAGCATTTATATACCTTTCGAGGAGGGGAGGTCAGGTCCACCTCGGGGACAAGTGAAGTCATCTGCAGACTCAAAGATGAGACTGGTGGGTTCCCGATGGAGATTGCTGTCGTTCTGGGTTATCGATCGTCGGCACTATGTGAGACATGTCTTGGAGTCCCGCGCGTTGTGCCGGATTCCCCGGGTTTACTCTTATGCAACTGCGGAGGGGTAGGCATTAACCATGATATAGCCGGCTGGTAACTGCAGTAAAGAGTCAAGTAAAAGTTCTTTTTGAAAAAGTTACTGCATCTGCAACTCATACAGTACCGTGGAATCCTTCGTCAAGAGGTCAACGGATCTACCGGCTTCTATTTCTGGCTTCGGCCGTTGATCGTCCCGATGTTTCAGATGATCTCCCCCCATGTTTGCCTCTTCCAGTCATTAACCTTAAACAGATCCTCGAGATGGGCGATAATCAATAGCCAACGAAGATATACGTTGGACGGAGTAGGTAAGGCTGAACACCGCCACGGTGCTCCAATTGTTCCTGAAATATGAAATCATCATGAGCCACACAACATTCTGGTTGACGGCAAGGGAGGGTTCCACTATGCCAAGGTCACCTTGCCATACTGAAACAGTGACGCTGTTGACGTTTGGCCACTTTTCCCCATCAGATCAGCTTCCCCTATTATCAACATCGCCATACAGAGTAATATCTCCGTGGTGGGGTGGGATGTCGATCGATGACAGCGATGTGTCTTGCCTGCTGAGACAAGCGGCTGAATGTGTTGAGGCTGTGTCTGAATGATATTGGATTTCATATACTCAGCTTATGCAGAACAAACCGTTTGTATGCCTTTAATACTTCTATTTCATTAGGGATCGGGGCCAAGGGAGTAGGCTAAACACAGTCTATGCGGTGATTCCAGTTGTATCCGATGCTTATAGTCGAGGTCAGTGAGGGCCGTATTTGAAAGATTATAGTACTTGTCTTACCATTAATCAACTATACCAGATACTGGCTCACTCTGCAGCAAGTTAAGAATGCCGGTCGGATTGCTTCCGAGACAGCCTCCAAAATGTCTCCAACACACGGTGCGATGATCCCCCTGATGTTTGGGTTGCGATGATAGAAAAACAAAGCTGAACTGGCCTGACCTGGCGAGCTGAGCGAGTTCAGCCTCCAAATAGAAAGTGAGACATCGCGGGATTACAGAGAAGTGATGGCTAGTAGTCATTATCCGAACTATTATCCGAGCATGGCTGGCCGACCGACAATGAATGCATGCATACGCACTTTCCAAGCTGAAATTAGCCGACAGAGATGCGAACAGCATGAATTACAATTCAATTCCTTACGCGACCGTGAAAGGTGGTCCCTATCGATACAGTCCCCGGGCATGCGAGATGGAAGACGACGAGAGAAGCACTTCCCGCAGTGAACCCTAGCCCGAGAATTGGTTGCCTATGAAGTACTGACAAAGAAAGATGTTGTTGGTGTCCATACCCCTAATTCTACTGGTATGTGGCCTCCGTGACTGCGTTGGTGTCAAGTTGTGTGTACACACTTACCTGAGCAGACTAAGATAGTGCACAATGGCTGACCAAACACCAAGAACAAACAAAATCACCGATGAATGTAACGTACACGCTATTATTCCCATGACACCACAGAACGGAAACGATCGCTTCATTTGTTCCTCAATCCTTCACGATTCAGCAAACCGAGCTGAAACCTCGGCCGGTGCTGCGGGGAAGATAAGCGAAGACAGATGGTTGGACTCGGACTCCGCGAGCTGCAGCTCCAATGGCACCGTGGCATCAATGCAAGCAGCCGCCAGGGTTTGGCTGCAGGTGTCAACCACTAGTACTCTGATTGCTCGAGCGGGGAAGACCAGGGCCGTCAGACAATCTGCTGCAAGGGATGGCCTGCTGAAGAGTCCGTTGCTTTTGTAACTTAATTGCTGTCACCAACCTTCACCTGGACGTGACATTTATCTTCACGACACTGATTGAAAGGGGTGTATAATGACACAAAAATTAGTGAACATCATGAAAAAAGGAACCAAAAGCATATTGGTGGCTACCACACTGGCTGCCATGCTTCCCTGGCAAGCATACAGCTCCATCGAGCGCTCCAGCCTCCTGCCAACACCACCCATGGGATTCAACAATTGGGCCCGCTTCATGTGCGACCTCAACGAGACTTTGTTCACCGAGACTGCCGATGCAATGGCTGCTAACGGTCTGCGGGACGCAGGGTACAATCGCATCAACCTGGATGACTGCTGGATGGCCTATCAGCGATCCGACAATGGATCCCTACAGTGGAACACGACAAAGTTTCCTCACGGCCTACCCTGGCTAGCGAAATATGTCAAAGCTAAAGGCTTCCATTTCGGCATCTACGAAGATTCCGGTAACATGACCTGTGGCGGATACCCTGGATCCTACAACCACGAGGAGCAGGATGCCAACACATTTGCTTCCTGGGGAATCGACTATCTCAAGCTCGATGGCTGCAATGTCTATGCAACCCAAGGCAGGACGCTTGAAGAGGAATACAAGCAGCGCTACGGACACTGGCATCAAGTTCTCAGCAACATGCAGCACCCACTGATCTTCTCCGAGTCAGCCCCGGCGTACTTTGCGGGTACAGACAACAACACAGACTGGTACACCGTGATGGACTGGGTGCCGATATACGGGGAGCTAGCACGCCACTCAACTGATATCCTGGTGTACAGTGGAGCAGGTAGTGCATGGGACAGCATCATGAACAACTACAACTACAACACCCTTCTTGCACGCTACCAACAACCGGGGTATTTCAACGACCCCGACTTTCTCATTCCGGATCATCCGGGTCTAACGGCGGATGAAAAGCGGTCGCATTTTGCACTGTGGGCTTCTTTCTCGGCTCCTCTCATTATAAGCGCCTACATACCCGCGCTCTCGAAGGATGAAATTGCCTTTCTGACAAATGAAGCATTGATTGCGGTGGATCAAGATTTCCTGGCACAGCAGGCCACGTTGGCGAGTCGCGACGACACCCTGGATATATTGACCCGTAGTCTGGCGAACGGCGATAGACTGCTGACCGTGCTTAATAAGGGTAACGCAACTGTAACGAAGGAAATTCCAGTGCAATGGCTGGGTCTGGTCGACACTGGCTGTACATATACTGCCGAAGATCTCTGGAATGGCGATACCCAGAAATTCGGCGATCATATAAAGGTTGAATTAGCCAGCCACGCAACAGCAGTCTTCCGGCTCAGTCTGCCAGACGAATGTTCTTCGGTAGTCCCAACCGGACTCATTTTCAACACAGCATCGGGCAACTGTCTGGCCGCTACCTCAAATTCTTCAGTCACATTTCAGTCCTGCAATGGAGAGGACTCCCAGATCTGGCGGGTGACGTCGTCAGGAGCCATTAGTCCACTATCGCAGACGACACAATGTTTGACTGCCTATGGAAGCTCAGTGAAGCTTCAAGCATGTGACAGCACTGATGACGACGGCCAGAAATGGACGTATGCAGTCACGGGGAATTTGAAGAATGCAAAGACAGATAGTTGCTTGACGGAGGGACCGTTGCAAATGAAGTCGTGTCTGGATGAGAGGGATGGCCAGGTATTTGGCCTCCCGAGTGGCGTCCAGTTGTCGTAGGGGAGTAAGAGGAGAGTCCCGGGGAGCAGAGGCATATGAGATCTTACGTCTAGGCAGCTGTATTATGTTGATGTCTAGACAACTAAACAAATGATATACATCTCAAATGCTATCAGTAGGGGCATATGGTTTATTTGCAGTTGTTCCCGCAAATTTCAATAGTCCCAAGTGTGTAGGAGCGCCTTTCAACTTAAACCAAGTTTGACAGGCCCCAAGGAGGTAACTGCAATGTTAATCAACAAGAGTCGCATATAGCATATTCTACCTTGCTCTGTGTCTAGAACCTCGAAGGGCTAAGGCCCTGGCCATTCTTTCCCCAGGTTCGCCAAGCATAGGACCATGAAAGGTAGCTGGAATGTATTGGGAGTTGCTGATTGACCAACGTCCATATTCAGAATGTCATTGCGCTTAGACCTGCATTCCTAAGCATGTGCATATCTTAAACTATGGTAATATCTTCCGCAAAACCTTTATTCACCTGTAGTGCAGATACAATCTCATGGTCTTATATGCATGCTGAAAGCACGATTAATGCTTGGTAAGATAAATTTTCCTGAAGAAGATTGGAATCACTCCGGCGAGGTTCAAATTCTTCAACTACGGAACTTGAATTGCTGGACAGCAAATCGCCAGAGCACAGCATTCTTCGGCGCTATATCCACCAATGGCTCCACACAACGCAGGGTAACCCTCAACCTTAGAGTCCCATAGCTATTCATAGTCAACGCTTGATAGCCATCGTATATTGAAACTCGAGGAATGTGCCTCAACGGTCTGCACTGGAGCATAACAATGGCATTGTTGTATTGGGGACATTCCAGGAACTTGACAGCGCCTGTCATTGGAATGTACTATACTGGGATGCCTCAAAGACAGGCCTAGCTCTGACAGCAGTTGTTATAAACCTCTTTAACCTTCATTGACCTTCAGCATAGAAAGTCAAGTCTCCACAATAATCTGAATCTAATCCTCCTATCTCCGACACAGTGAACGGCATCATGGTTTCCGCCAAGGCTATTATGTTCACGATGATCACTGCAGTGATGGCGCAGAACAAGACGCAAATCGTATGTATACTTTCCGAATACTATTCTTCACAATGAATCAGTGAAGTGTATGATCTGACTGGAATACTGCTAGGGCACCACGAGCGAATTCCGCGTCTGCACTGTAGACGCAAGACCCATCTACTCCGAATCCTGCATCTCCTTGAACCAAACTGGGTATATATTATAGTACCGACCATCATTGAAACTGAGCCCACTCTGACACAAGAGAACCAGGTCAACCCAGTTTAATGTTGCGGTCGGCTGTCGCCAGTATGGGTATGATGACCGATTCCGAAATAGACGTGATCTATCTAGCTGACCATCCTTCTCCTGTAGAAGCACGACATGCACCGGGAACTACGATACAGTGGGTTACCGGAGTGACTGCTATGAGAACAGTCGGTTCTTCCAAAACTTTGGTACGATAAGCGGGAGCATTTACTGCTATCCTTCTTAGGGGACGACGGGTTGTTGAGGCCTGTCTGAAGAGTCTGTGGGCATTATACGGGACTATTATATGCTTGGAGGGTATGCTTAGCTAGGTAGTGAATGAAACTGACTTGCTATTTCTGAGCAGCCTGGGTGTGGCATTATTAAGTGATAAGACAATACTGGGGAAGTTAGCAGCTTCTGACAAAACATGAAGACAACTCATATTACGGTCTTGTTTTACTCAATGTTCTGCGCATGTGGGCTGGTATCGGCAATTTCCGACGATAGATTGGACACCCCACGTTGAGCGAAGGCCCATCGACAGCGGTAAGCTCAAGGGATCGTTGGGAAAGAGGGACTCAGCCGAGAGAAGCCGCGAGAATTGTCCGCTGGTAACCTGAGTTCAGACCCACGGTCCCAGAGAGCGACTATTGGACGTGACGGTACAGTAGCGGGCATTAGAGTGGATGATCTGGAGGCACCGATGCTTGTTCGCCGGCGCTAATTTAGGGCCATCGCTTAGAAGAAGGGACAGAAGAAGGATTCCCTCAGTCGCGGCATTTTGATCAGGCGTCGGAAATACTATGAAAGACATGAAAAAGCGAGAGCAGTGCTTTTAAATGGGTTTGAGTCATTGTCAATTAATTGTCTTACAAGATCAATGGCAGCATGGCGTGGTTTGCATGCAACATGTTGCAACAACTCAATGCCGGCGATCACCGTCGGACTCCGGGTGGGAATCAGGGTTGGAGACCCATTGCTTATCACAACAGCCGACGCCAGTCGCTCTGGGGTGCATTTGCAGAATTCCCTCGACTAATCAGCTTTTCTTCAGTACCGGCCGGTCCGAAATGACCCAGTCTGCTAGCTGTTGGAGACATGCAATGATGCCATTGTCTCGTCCGATAAGCAAGGGCGGCCAGTCCCCCGTCCCTTCTGTCTGACTTGGAAAAGTTATAATGTCCGTCTCGCCGGCCTAGCGGTCAATTCGGACTTTTTGTCTGTTGTTCCTCTCAATTCCTTTAGCATGCGTTCCTCCGGTCTCTATACAGCACTGCTGTGCTCCCTGGCCGCATCGACCAACGCGGTTATTCATGAGAAGCTCGCTGCGGTCCCCTCGGGCTGGCACCATCTGGAAGATGCTGGCTCCGACCACCAGATTAGCCTGTCGATCGCATTGGCACGCAAGAACCTCGATCAGCTTGAATCCAAGCTGAAAGACTTGTCCACACCTGGTGAATCGCAGTATGGCCAGTGGCTGGATCAGGAGGACGTCGACACGCTGTTCCCAGTGGCCAGCGACAAGGCCGTGATCAGCTGGCTGCGCAGCGCCAACATCACCCATATCGCCCGGCAGGGCAGCTTGGTGAACTTTGCGACCACCGTCGACAAGGTGAACAAGCTTCTCAACACCACCTTTGCTTACTACCAAAGTGGCTCTTCCCAGAGACTGCGCACAACGGAGTACTCCATTCCCGATGATCTGGTCGACTCGATCGACCTCATCTCCCCGACGACTTTCTTCGGAAAAGAAAAGACCAGCGCTGGTCTAAACCAACGGGCGCAAAAGATCGACAGCCATGTGGCCAAACGCTCTAACAGCTCGTCCTGCGCCGATCTTATCACGTTGTCCTGCCTGAAGGAGATGTACAACTTTGGCAATTACACTCCCAGCGCCTCGTCAGGAAGCAAGCTGGGATTCGCCAGCTTCCTGAACGAGTCCGCCTCGTATTCCGATCTTGCCAAGTTCGAGAGACTGTTCAACTTGCCGTCTCAGAACTTTTCCGTGGAGCTGATCAACGGCGGCGTCAATGATCAGAATCAAACGACGGCTTCCCTGACCGAGGCTGATCTCGATGTGGAATTGCTCGTCGGCGTGGGCCATCCCTTGCCAGTGACGGAGTTTATCACTTCTGGCGAACCGTGAGCATTGTTCCTTAGACATGAATTTAGTCGATGCTAATTATGTAGTCCTTTCATTCCCGACCCCGATGAGCCGAGTGCCGCCGATAACGAGAATGAGCCTTACCTCCAGTACTACGAGTACCTCCTCTCCAAGCCCAACTCGGCCCTGCCCCAAGTGATTTCCAACTCCTACGGCGACGACGAACAGGTAATACCATACATCGTCCCCAAATAGCTACATACTAACCGACCCAGACCGTTCCAGAATACTACGCCAAGCGAGTCTGCAACCTGATCGGACTCGTCGGCCTGCGCGGCATCAGCGTCCTGGAATCATCCGGTGACGAAGGTATACTCCTCACCACCATCGTCCGCAAAAGCATACTTGCTAACAGCAGCACAGGAATTGGATCCGGCTGTCGCACCACCGACGGCACTAACAGCACCCAATTCAATCCCATCTTCCCCGCCACCTGTCCCTACGTGACCGCCGTAGGAGGCACCATGTCTTACGCACCCGAAATTGCCTGGGAAGCCAGTTCCGGTGGTTTCAGCAACTACTTCGAGCGAGCCTGGTTCCAGAAGGAAGCCGTGCAGAACTACCTGTCGCACCACATCACCAACGAGACGAAGCAGTACTACTCCCAGTTCGCTAACTTTAGCGGTCGCGGATTTCCCGATGTTTCGGCCCACAGCTTCGAGCCTTCGTAAGCTAAACTCCCCACCTGAGAATGATACGCAGAGGGGCTAATGTGATATAGCTATGAGGTTATCTTCTACGGCGCCCGCTACGGCTCCGGCGGTACTTCCGCCGCATGCCCCCTGTTCTCTGCGCTAGTGGGCATGTTGAACGATGCTCGTCTGCGGGCGGGCAAGTCCACGCTTGGTTTCTTGAACCCCCTGCTGTACAGCAAGGGGTACAAGGCGCTGACGGATGTCACGGCGGGACAGTCGATCGGGTGCAATGGCATTGATCCGCAGAGTGATGAGGCTGTTGCGGGCGCGGGCATTATCCCGTGGGCGCATTGGAATGCTACGGTCGGATGGGATCCAGTGACGGGATTGGGACTTCCTGATTTCGAGAAGTTGAGGCAGTTGGTGCTGTCGTTGTAGATTACATGTCTGTATTTGGGATGAGACTTTGTATGTGTTATGATGTGATAGTATGTGAGATATGTGTGAGATGATTCGCGAACTATGTGCGAGTTTCACATGGCTTGCTTCCCTGAATGGTAATATTATGACAGGGGTCTTAGTAGAGGTTTCATGACTGCTTCTGTGTCTCATGCAGGTTCCTCCTCCCCTCTCAACGACCGTCATGGACAAAGTCAAAAGACCCTGACGCGCCCATTATGAGTGGCTGATAAGGACATGCATCATTACTCCGTGGAAGCCCCGAAATTAATTCCGACAGGGGTCGAGGGGAACACACCCAATCAATCACTTACCCCGCTTCTGGCACCGCATAAGGCTGAGCGATGCGATGGTGAAATGGCCACCGATTTGCCGATTAGCCGTCGGGCCAGTTGTTGATTCCGGTATCACCCTACAACACATGCTTCATGCATAGGTGAACAGTGCTATTTCGTCCATTGTTGCTGGTACCCGGATGTATCTACCCTGGATTCCTCTGCTAGTCTAATGAGCTACACACTATATCTGCAGTCAATGCACGAGGGCCAGCAAAACTCCGCTATACCAGTGCAACCCAACTCCATCGGCCGAGTATGATATTAAACTCATTATTGGTGTGATTATAAATTAATCGGAAATGTACACCTGACCCTCACTTGATGTAGGGCGGAAGTATTTCAGGATATAATGGGAATGGCTCATCCATACACTCTGTCGGACACTCGCCCTTGTCATACGACACCTGCACGGGAACCCGCAGTCGCAAATTCGCACTCTTCGAGTTATCGACATCGGCCGAAATGAAGATGGAGAGGCTGTACCGTCGGGAGATGTACGGATGGGTAAACGTAGGAGGGAGGTAATCGGGCGTGTCGAAGTTGAGGATCAGGGGGGTAGTTGCTTGGTATGTTGTCGGTTGGTCTGTTATATCATACAAAGTCAGGAGTGGTAAAATGTACTGAGAGCGCATCATGTACCCTGCTTGTCAAGACCGCAGTCCTCCCACGATGCGATGCGCAACTTCCGCACCTGTGTACAACCCGTCCCCGTCGTATTCGCAACAAGCTTGAAATCCAGCAACTTGTTGGCGTCTCCCTCTAACGGAAGTCGGTCTTGCGGAGACACAGAAACAAATGTTGTCGCGCGAAGAGAGGTCTGGATGCTGGCATATATCCCGGGGATATTTGCGTGCTGTTGCGACGGGTCCAGACAGCGGTACTGCCATTTTAGTGGAACTACCGTAGAAACCATTCCCGAATTATTAAGATACAGCGGGGCAGGCTCCTCCGTCTGCACAGACATATAGTATAGATCGCGGCGATGTAATCTATCGCGCACACGTCGTGACGATGCGAGGGTATATTCTCCAGGAAAGTCGGGAATACAAATGGGAGGGGCACATTCTTGAGCCGGTGCAAACGTTACTGGCGCTTCAGTCTCGGCAATGCATTCTTCGTGGTCGAAGAGTCGGGCTTTGAGAAAGTATTCTATGCGGCCTTGCCCGCGCAGTATGAGATCGTTGGAGTTGTAGACTGGCATGGGTTTGAAGGAGAGTGATGGAGGTAGGGGAGAGGTGTCATATTCGTCGGACGAGACGGAGTTGGCGCTTCGGGGGATGTTGAAGTGGAAGGGGTGTAGGAGGGTCCGTGAAGTGTTGGCAGTGTTTTGCTGTGCCAGTTCGCGCACATCAGATGCTCGGAGGAGCTAGACTGAGTTAATACAAAGATCTTATCGAGAAGGGCGCAAAGTCATTTTACTGTGATATTCTTTGCGAGTCGCAGCAGCTGCGTTGAGACATTCAGATTGACTGCTGTTGATAAATGACCTGGTATAGCGGTTAAAACCAGAGAATAATTTTTTCAATGGGACATTTACCTTCAAAGGTCACTTCAACGAGTAATTGTTGCGATGAACTGGCAGTCTCATTGCCTGGCATCGATACAATGACATTGCCGTCAAGGTGACCGTCTGTGATGACATGGCTGCTGCTTGCTGAGAGTACCTCTGCATAATCCGACGACGTACAATTTCTCCCTGATTGTTGATTGGCTTGAATGTGAAGTCGCGGTGCCATCCTGAATTTTCTAAGGATACCACTGTGACCATCTTCGCCAAAGGAAGCAGATAGTTGTAGAGAAAAAGTGGAAGAACCCAGCACACCGAGCTAGCCCGCTAAGAATCAGGTGACCACGCACCGGGGGAAATTACTCTTCTAGACATGGACTGTCGCAGTTTAGTAGGTCATCGTGCAGGTTGAAGTGACGCTATCAGCCCGTCTGGCCCATAACAGGGATACATCCTCCCTCCCGATAGGGCTGAAGGGGGCTCGACAGGGATCTGAGGGATTTTCCGGATTGTTGACCGCGCCCCGTGCAGCAGGTTCGGTCATGGTGCCTCTTGTCCAAGCTTCGACTAACACCATAGTGCTTACTAGCACAAAAGCTTAGCATACGTGGATAGAGAATTGATAGACAGGATGTGTTGCAATTTGTACGGGTCTGAGCGTTGACGTTGCACAGCAGCTGCTGATAGTCGGTCAGATGGAGCACGCTGTCAGATTTTAGGGGCGCTTTGGTGGTTCTATCGGCGGCGGGTCATAGTTCCGGGCTCACTCTTGCCGAGGGTAGCCTCGGTTAAAGGGGCTGATCAGGACGACACATTGCGATCCATACTCTGTGTTATGATATAGAACGAGATTTACATCATTTAGGAGGGAAGAGGCTGTTCGATATCGGAGATGGGGTATAGTATTCCCAACGTTTGATTGAAGACTAGTAAAAAGTCTATTGTCTAACCACTCAATACATATATGAGAAAAATGTTGTACAGTAGAAAGTAAATCCCGTTCCGTAGACGCACGTTTAGCGATTTTCAGAATCCTCAAGCACTGGTAGAAGAGGGCATAGCACCGGACATGGACATGGAACCCGAAGGAGCACCACCACCACCAGAGCCACCACCCATGGCAGCGCTGTCCGAGTTCTCGTGACCGCCGTTCTCATCGTAGTAAGCAGCAATGCTGTAGTAGGAGTTGTCGGTGTAGTCGGCAGTGGTGTTGATACCGATCTGGATCCAGGCGAACAAACCGTCCTCGATGCTGTCACCGAGGTACAGGAACTCTGGGAAGGGGTCGTAGGCGCTGGAGGCCTGCTCGACACTCCACATGTCGTCGGCATTGCTAGTAATATCCTGGGTGTTGGTGGTGTAGGGGTAGGTGTTCTCAACAGCGGTACGCAGGACCTCGTTCCAGAAGAGCTGGCCAATGTGGGCGACGCTGCCAGTGCCCACTTGAAGGGTGCCGTTGTTGCGGTTGATGGTGGAGTTAAGGTGGGTCAGGAGATGGGTGTGGATGGCGCGGCCGTCGTAGTGACCGGGGAAGATGGTCTGGAAGGTAACAACACCATCCTCATCGGTCTCTTGAATACCACGGAGGAAGGTCGAGTCCCAACCGTCGGCGGCGTAGTTGCCACTGGTGGAGATACCACTACATACTTAGCTCTGATCAGATGATAGGATAAAAAAAGCACCATACCTGTAAACACCGGTAGCGTTGGCGTTCCAGATGTCGACCAGAGCACCCTGCACAGGCAGGCAAGTGTTGACATCGATGTACTGTACCTCGAGGAAGAGGTCGACACCATCACAGTACTTATCCTCCTTGACGTTGTGACGGATCACTTCACCCCAGACATAGTAGGGGCCGTCGGTGATGGTGGGGGTAAGGATGGAGCTGGTGTTGGCGCCGAAGATGTCGGCCTCAGAGGTCTGAGGGGAGTAGTCAAGGAGGCCGGTCTTGTTGTGGTTGATAGCTTCCCACTTCTCGAGAGCCGCGAGGTTCCGGCGGAACTTGTGGGGAGCTATCTATAGTTAGACGATGCAATCACGGTTTGCCATTTCAGGCCTGCTTACCAGCAGTCACGCCCCTCTTGGAGCGCAGCTCACGGGCAGTATTAGCGCGGCGGGAGACGGAGCGCTGCTGAACCTGTCTAGCCTGGTGGCTGTTGGAGCAAGCATTGACACCGTGTCTGGCCTGCTCAGCGAGGGCATCGCGAAGGCGGATCTCCCGCTTGACGGCCTCATGGTCATGTTTCTCGCCGGGGTGGGCGAAAGCCAAAGTGGCCGCGGTGAGAGTGAGGAGCTTGGAGAAATGCATGATGAAGCTATTTGAGTGATCAAGATGATTGAGCTGCGATCGTGCTGTTGATTGGCTTCAAGTCATGGCTGAGGGTCTTGATATTTATGCTCAACATTGTTGATGCCTCTTCTATAGCCGCGTCATCTGGTCCCATACTGGCGTGGCCGTCAGGCTACCCTGTGAGCCGTACTCACTCCCTAGCGAAGACTTTTGATATCTCAACTGTCAGAGGACTCGTCATCGCGTACCCTGGCGGCAATTGGAAACCCTAGAGGGACTCCGAGATGCCGGCTGGGCAATGGAAACTTCTTGGCGCCGCGTACGTGGATCCGCAGCGGAGGATAGAAGCTCAGGGAACTTGACCCTGGAAGGTGGATGATCGACACGCATCACGAATCATTGTCGTGCAATTAGTACACATGGAGCGTCTGACGTTATCAGATCAGGGATCCGGACAGCGTCCGCGGGTCTGGGGTATTCTTCGCGCCTTGGCTGTTGTTTCCGCCGATTCTGGATGGTGGCTCAGTCGTTTCATCTGGCAGGCCAAGGCCAGGGCTGATTTTTAGTCACTGTCATTGACACTATATCTGTGTAGTGATTCGTAATCTCTTCAATGAGGTAGATTACGGGAGGCTGTTGTTGCGTGGAACATGGCAGGGTTTGTCGGGTTGTGATCTCGTCCGGGCTCCGCGGTGTCCGAATTTCCCCCTGCAACGGTGGAGTTATGCAAAGAATAGAAGCACGGGCCGCCGAATACACCTAAAATTGTGTTTCCGAAGCAGACCTGAACCGAAGCAATGTGTGTGCGAGGTGAGGCGCAGAACAAAACAGAAGTGGTTGCGTATAGCTTCTTTACGTCTCGAAACGGCAATGATTGCTGCACATCCGGTTCAAAACTGCCGCTTAGTCAGATCCTCTGTCTTCCTCGGCCACTGAAGGCTCAAAATCGGGCAGTTGTGGATGCTTTCCACTGCCATCCCCGAGCCGATGACGCACAAACCATCCGCCCTTGTTATTCGTCGCGCCGGAAGAAAACCGTCGGAGCATAACTTGCTCCCGTCCCTGGTTCAGATGTGATATTTCGGTTAACGTCTAGTGGAGCTCCACCATCCGCTGAAACTGCCAGGGGAATAGTATATGTTGTGACGGGCCCTAGACAATCTGGGCGCCTGCATCATCGCATGACACGCATGGTTAACTCCTGGACGTTCAACTTGATCATTGACAGAATTTGCGCCCGCTGGACATAATTCTTATATTTCCGAGAATGATCAAGGCTGCGGTGTTGATTTCTTCCAAGGCCCTCTACCTTCAGAGATCGGAGTAAGGGTGTAAAGACACTTCAGTCTTCACATTATCCCTACGTCGGAAAGATCACCCGAACCCTGTCCTAAGCTGTAGGCAAATGGCGTTGTATCCCTCGGACATCTAACCTCCTGAAATCCATAGCTAACAACGGATCATGGAGCATTTAGCACGCTTGGTCGTGTCAATCAGAAGTTGGGGAAAGAAGCGCCAGAGAAGAAAATACTAAATTGCAGGACTGGGCGCAACCCGTCTTTTTTGTGTTGGGGGGTGCTGCAACCCGTAAAGGGCGCGTTCTTTATGAGATCGAGTCTGTTGCTGAACACTCGACGTATCGTGAACCTCCAGATACTCACCGCTGATGATTCAAGTAAGCTTGCGTGTGATTATATTGGGTGCGGGTGCATTAGTGGCCTTCATCTGCCAAAGTCGGGCACACTGATCGGCGCGCATCCCCCAGCCACCGCATCATTGACCTTCGCCCCGAACCCCTGCTAACCAAACCACTCCTCAACGTGCAAGGATCAGAGAAACCTAGTACTACTATGGCTTCCTCCAAAACCGAGCTCGACTATCGCGTTACCGACGACGTCGGCTACGGCCTTGGTAGCGAAACCGCGGCCGCATTTCGACTCAATGGAATATTTCACTTCTGGAAAGAGCACCTCGGCTTCAATATCCACCCGACCATTCGGGAGTCCTTGCAAACGCCAAATCCCCGCATCGCAGATGTAGCCACAGGCACAGCGATCTGGCTCATAGACCTGGCGAAGGAGCTTCCCGATGCGACCCTCGACGGGTTCGATCTCACCCTCGACATGGCGCCCCCGGTGGAGTGGCTCCCACCAAATATCACCTTGCGGCAGTGGAATATCTTCGAAGACCTACCAGAAGAATTAGTGGGACAATTCGATCTTGTACATCTCCGACTACTCCTACCAGTCATCCAGAATGGCGATCCCTCATCAATCATTCACAAGATCACCCGCATGCTAAAGCCCGGAGGATGGATCCAATGGGATGATCTGAACATCCGAGAGGCAAAGATCTTCAAAGCCAGGCCCGAACTCAAGATCGAAGCGTTGGAATACCTCTCTCGGTTCTGGAATACCGGCGAACGGCAAGAATGGATTGGTCGTCTTCCGCAGAGTTTTGAACAAGAGGGACTGAAACGAACGAGCATTGATCGATATGAAAATTTGAAGCAATATCTCAAGGCCGACTGCGAGGGATATATCGTGACTTGCGAAGAGACTGCGCGGACACTTGCCAGGAAGGGCAAGGTGGATGAAGCCAAAGAATTCGCTCAGATCGTTCACCAAGCATCGCTGGAAGCTGCGGCTGGCGCTGCCGTGGTGGCTACTAGGGTCGTTTGTATCGGGCAAAAGCCAGTGGAGCTGTGAACTAAGCTATCACCCGGAGGGAGGTAGGCACATTATCTAAGAGTTGGGTGAAGATGCTGTTGCTTGAGGGGTTGGATGTAAATACATGGTGTGGTTTGCAGTCCATGTGGTGGGACACCCTTTCTCCATATCAGCAACAGGAGCACTATTTGGGAGGGATCAAAGTCTGTCTGAAGATGATAAGACTGCACTAATGACATTTATACTCTCAATGGGAAGTATTTCTCGTAGTTCAAGACCTTGTCGAATCTCCATTTATGTCGCACACCTGCGCATCAGTGCTACCAGTTCTGTGCCACGAATAGCGTCATCACTGTCGGGATACCCTCATATATTCCATAGTACACTAGCTGCATGTCTAATTGGCTCCAGTTGCTGTTCAGTGTGTCACAAATAACCCCAACATGATTGTCAGTTATTGTAAGCTTGTGTGACCACCTATTGGGCTCAAATAGTAGAAATAGAAAATATCTACGGAGTACGCAAAACCGATATATTCTTTCTTCAACGCCATCCTTATCCATTATATATATAATGTACCTTTCTTAGTCTTCAATTCAAATTCTACCAATGATATGTAGAGCATCTCCACCTCAACATATATAGTTGAAACGTCAGCAAACCCAACAAATCCCAACTTAGGACCTCATCACACCTACGAATTATTCTCACACCTCCTCAAAAGCTCCCATAAATGCGGCTGCAAGAACTGCCTCTCCAGCCCCAGCGTCTCCGCCAAATACGACCGCCAGTTATCTTCCAACCAGAGCAAATCCTTCGGCTCAACATCCCCGAGCGCCTGCACAATCATGAAACCCAGATAAGTATCCTCGTCCTCGAACGGTCTCGAGATCTTCAGCCATCGTGACCCCGGAAAAGCATGTAGAATATCCCCATCGATGCAGCGGCGCTCGAGCGCCTCGTAATCATTGTCGTCGCAGTGGAAGGTGCAGGTTAATAGATAACGGTCGGGGCCTATACATACAATGGTTGATTAGCAATGATGTACGTCGACGTTATTAAGTTGGCATACATACCAGCATTTCCCGTCTCATTCCCTTCGCCGTTCTTCAGTACGAAGAGTTGCTGGAAGATCCTTGTGTCGAACTCAGCAATCTCTAAACACGACTTGGTCGTGCCCAGCATGCTATGTGTTTTCGGAATGCGAGCGAAGTTTTCCGGCTCCATGAAATCTAAATCGTCGCAGTCGTATGCGGCAAGCCAGCGATACTGTTTCTGGGGCCCTAGAGCTCGGAAGAATTCTCCTTTTGTCACGGAGCCTGTCTTTAGGACATCGGGGACATGATGCTCCTGGTACCATTGGCTGAAGACCTCGTCCGTGACGGTGGGATCTCGGAGGCGGGATGAAGCGTAAAGCCAAAGTTTTGAGGAAGACATTGTTGTGACGATTGGAGACTGCACAGGGTACTGAAATCGAATATTCTAATCAATTGAATGAGTCCATATCAAATGCGAAAAAGAGAACGCATGGCAGATAGATATATTCTGACATGGTCAATCGTTACCTCGCTCGGGATCAGAAACAACGACCTTATTAGGAAACCACATTGACCTCTCGAATTGATATCAGATTGTATCGTGAAATGTGCGATGCGTCATAAGACGCTATTCCCAGAGTGCCCGACGCCACGTAACTGAGCGACCAAGATCTTGCGTTGCACTACCCGGACACAAGAACTCTGGCCGTGCTTGCTCAACTTTCTGGTCACTAGATCCCACCAATGAGTGTATATGGATCAACGATGAACCATGGAAGTCCCATTCTGAAACTAGGCTAGTCAGCAATGAGTAGTAGTCTCCGTCGTAGCAAGCTGGTCGAGAAGTCGATGCGACATCCTGTCAACGCATTGCCATCCTGTATACATCTTGACCGACATTCCTTTCGTTGAGTGATATCACACATGTACTGTTCATCGGGAAAATTAGCAATCAAAAGCAAACTTGAGTCGGAATAAATTGTACCTTAGACACGATGATAGTCTTTCCCTAAATCACTCCATGAAAACTTTTCAAAGTGGTTTTACTGGACCCCTGTGACTTTGCAAAGTTAGATCAGTGATCCACCTAAACTGGGTTCTGGACCTGTCATTGAAACAATCCGGCATGGATCGACATCCAACTGCAGGCAACACGCATGTCACACTCATAACAAATGGAATTTAGGAGGCGATCATACTGCCTACAATGATCTCCCTCTTTGCGGCAATTTCCTGCTTGAGGCTCTAGTTGAATCTAGGCCACCACTCGTGCTGAAAGTATATCGATTATGGCCACACCTAGTTTCACCCGAACACTTCGTTCGGTCCCGATAGAGTAGGAAGCAGTTCATTGGCGTTGTATAAGCCGGTCGCATGCTTTCTCCTTCCAAGCTCTTTCCTCGTCCCATGCCGCGGTTTCAGAAAGTTGCCTCATTTCACAGATGATGCTATTATCTCAGCCACTCAATGTCAAATTCAAGTTTCAGATTCTTAGATCACAATCGTAGTTCAGACTTCTTGTTGCTGTCATATATGCGGTATCCAACCCTGGTATCTGGGTTAGTTGCACACACTATACAGGCTACAGTACGATTACTTCACGACCAGCCTGTCACGCCTAAAAACCGCTCCCAAAACTGGAGTAAGCCGCGACCGACCAAGAATAAGGTCTCTCCGAAATACGAGAATTAAGCTCAAGACTCAGGACAGTAGATGTGGTATCCGTACCTGCGATGCCGTTCTCAGTGCCATGGTCCCAATGTGAACCCTGCCAGTGCTGTTTCCTTGCGCACTGTCCCCTCCGGCAGTGGCTGCGGCCGGAAAAAGGGTGATCCACCGCCTTACTTCAGTAGAAGTTTGTGGAAAGTCAAAGATCCAAGTGGCTTACTGGCGTGCAACTTGGCGAAAATAGTTACTTGCTTATCTTCATGGTGGCTGAAAGTAGACGACGTAGCTGACACTAGCCGGCTTCACGTCGTGTGTAACCCCTTCCACGCGTGGGCTATAACCAGGAAAGACTGGCATATCATGGCCGAGCATGAATTAAAACAAAACAGTCTTGATTTGGTGTTATCCGACTTTAGTTGCTCACTCGGTTTTTGAGGCCTAACACCCTCATTGGTGCAATCTGGATGTAACAGTCCTGCTAAATGTTCACCCAATCATCGGAAATGGGATGTATAGGACCACCCAAGGCGGGTAATGATCTTCGCCCTGGTTGTGTAAGCCCACCTCCTTGCTCAGCAATACGAGATATTATGCGACTTGTATATCTCGAGACAGCACGGAAATGTCAGGGCTCACTACCACGTGTATAACTGCTTTCCTACTCCGTAGCACTCGACGGTATGCTGCAAAGCGCACCCGCACGAAATCGCTTAGGCCTGAGTTCTAGGTCGCAAGGAGGGTAATTGGCAGCGTATTTCCGCCCGCATTTCTCCACCCTTTCCCCGCAATCCATACATTTCGCTTGTGTCTAGCGTAGTCTCATATCCTGACACCCGTCTGGATATCCAAATTGGCTCATTGCAGGACGCCCAATTAGGCGTACCATCTCCCAGAACACGTGGATTGATGCATGGACATCTAAGCGTCTCTAGAGCAAGTAGGAATGTTCTTATCAGAGCCTTAAGGCTGAATAGGCGTCAGTGCAAGGTACTACTATACTGTCTTCCATGTGATGAGAAAGATGAGGGAGAGGCTGTCAGACCATGCCTCCCAGCCGGATCACCCCGACCGCTCGGTTTCTGTTTGACTCAGGAAGGCTTGCGGGCGACAGACAGCGATTGGAGGAGCCAAGGGCTGGGCGCGGTCATCTGCAAGCACCAGGAGCCGTGGGAAGCTTTGGTAGCTTTGGCCGGCAGCGCCACGTCGGATAGATCGGCCGCCACCTACGTGCTCTGGATCAGATGGAACACCGCCAAGGGAGCCAATGCGACACAAGCAACCAATAACCCATGAAGTCGAAAGAGTTATTTCCCTCAGTACGAGTACAACTCCTGATCCTGATGTCGGGGAACCTGTGTGCGGTTGGATTGGGGCATCACTAAAAGCTGAGATCACGTGGCTACCGGTGGGGGCCTGAGGCCGAGTCCCCGCCGCATTAGGAAATCCCGGCGTGTAACCTAACAACCAAACAATGGTAACAAGAATGTGACAGGCAATCGATTAATTTCCCTAGCTTCAACTAACCCCCGACCGGCTCACGTTAGCTTTCCGTAGCGTGGGATTGCACTCAAATCATATCTCTTGTAAGCAACCGAAGTTGGGTTAGACAGACCCACGGCTGTCTCGTGGCCTGACCATTGCTGCATCCCGTCCATCTGGACTGGCCTACCAATCCCCGTGGGGTTTCCCCAGCCGGGGATCTGCTTTCACGCTATTCAATCGTCGATGTACACTGACCTTATCCATGGTTGACTCTGGTATCCCCCATGTCCTCATACCTATCTGGGGTCATGTCATGTCGGCGCCCGACCGCAACCACAGACGCCGGCTTCGGTTGTTCCCCTCATCCCCTCCTTTGCGGAGACCGGCCACCTTTGATGCATCCTCGAATGACGGCATGAAAAAGGGCCATCCTGGTCTAAAGTGACCAATCCAATCCAGTTCTTTGTGTCCACATCGACTAGGATGTAACGGAGCCTTATGGTCAAAGTATTTCCAATCCAACCAGATGCCGCCTGGTTGGCTGGCACACGCGTACCGGTCGGTAGATGCCGCATCAAAGAATTCAACGATTAGTCGAACTCTGTGCCCATGCGCCGTTTTGGCCAAGTCGATGTCTCGTCGTCATTCGGCAAATGCACTGACGGGATCCACCCCCGAGGACAAGGCTCTCGGGTGAGATTTGATAAATGGCCGGGGTCTCTCCCACCACCCCGAGGGCTTTGATTAACCCTGAAACGTGAAAAAGGTGTTTTTCAAGTCGCCAAATCCTCAAGTCTTGCGACTGAAGTATGTTCTTGTTGGCCTCCAAGCCACAGTCGCGTAGAAAGTTCAAGGTATCGGCCTTCCGGTTCCTCTCCATTACTTGAACCACCTTCCCCTCTGAATCGTGATTTGATACCTCGTCAGCAAGATTCTAAGCGCATCTACTGTGTGTGCATCCTGTGTCTAGTTGACCTCTCGCGATGGACGGAGAAGAGGTCACGGCGAAGGCCGTTCACAAGGACGAAAATCCTGCTAGCGTTGAGCACGCTGAAAAGCCACAGCAGCGACACGATGTCTTCGACATCGAAGGGCGCTCGGGCGGTCTTAACGCCGTATTTGAAAACCCCTTGGCAGGCGTGCCGCGAGAGCAACTCCTCGACGACGTGGAGCGCTTTTGTCGCCAGTACGGTCTCGAAGCGCACTTGGACGAATTCCGCAAGGGCGCCTTGATCTCACAGAATCCGCAGGGCGCATTGGACCTCCCTGACCTGACCGAGGCGGATAAGGAGACCCTAAGGCGAGAACAGACGCATAAATGGTCGCAACCTTGGCAGCTTTACTTCATGGCTTGTAGGTGCTTTTATCAGTACTACCTGTCACAAACCTTTCTCATATCAATGCTGACGATGCTTCTATAAAGCCATGTGTTCTCTTGCAGCCGCTGTACAAGGTATGGATGAGACTGTCAACAATGGCGCCCAGGCGATCTATCTTGATGTAAGTACTCTCTCGTCTTTGTACTCAAGTGGCCCATACTAACTACCAGCAGGAACTTGGGATCACTGCACCCCGGTTTTCGGAGCAAATGCAAGATTACCTTACCGGGCTTGTCGTTGGCGCTCCCTATCTAGCGTGTGCAATTCTCGGTTGTTGGCTCACCGAGCCTATGAACAGATACCTGGCGCGACGTGGGACAATCTTCTGGTCTTGCTTCATTGCAGCAGTGGCTTCCATCTGGGAAGGCGTGGCTAATTCCTGGGTTAACCTCTTCATTGCACGGTTTGTCCTTGGCCTTGGTATTGGTTCCAAATCGTCGACCGTGCCCGTGTATGCGGCTGAATGTTCCCCGGCCCCCATCAGAGGTGCCCTTGTCATGATGTGGCAGATGTGGACAGCATTCGGCATTATGCTTGGTAATATCATGGGCGTTGCTTTCATGGGCGTATCGAGGGATCTCTCGTGGCGTCTTATGCTCGGATCAACCGTGGTCCTGCCCCTTGTTGTCTGCGCGCAAGTCTATTTCTGCCCGGAGTCCCCTAGGTGGCTTATTCAACACAACCGAATTCACCAGGCTTTCAAGTCTTTCCGCACGCTCCGCCCCACTGATCTGCAGGCGGCCCGAGACTTGTACTACGCGTACGTCCAGGTGGAGCTGGAACGGAAAGTCAACACCGGGAAGAACTTCTTCTCCATGTTCCTCGAGCTCTTTACGATCCCACGCAATCGTCGCGCCACGCTTGCTAGCTGGATTGTCATGTTTCTGCAACAATTCTGTGGAGTGAATGTGATAGCTTATTATTCCACAACCATTTTCGTTGATTCCGGATATAGTATCCAGCAAGCCCTATTGGCCAGCATGGGAACAGGGATCTTGAATTGGGTTTTTGCACTCCCCGCATTCTTCACCATTGACACGTGGGGCCGCCGGAACCTGCTGCTCTTCACTTTTCCATTCCTAGCCATCTGGCTTCTCTGGACTGGGTTCTCGTTCTGGATTGACCCGGAGGACTCAACCAGTAAGAAGCGGGTGGCCATGGTCACAACGGGCATGTATCTGTTTGAGGTTTTCTATTCCCCGGGTGAAGGACCTGTGCCATTTACCTATTCTGCCGAAGCATTCCCACTGCAGGTACGTGAGGTTGGCATGTCATGGGCCACTGCGACAACATGGTGTTTCAACTTTATTCTGTCGTTCACCTGGCCTATGCTCCTAAGAGCATTCAAGCCTCAGGGTGCATTCGGATGGTATGCCGCGTGGTGTGTGATTGGATGGTTCCTAGTCCTGCTGTTTGTACCAGAGACTAAGGGTAAGTAACTGAACTTTTTCACAGTTGGGGGCTAAAGCTAATGTCGACTAGAACTCACACTGGAAGAGCTTGATCAAGTCTTTTCAGTCTCGACGCGCAAGCACGCATCCTACCAATTGAAAAATGCATGGTGGCATTTCCGCGTTTGGGTACTTCGGCAGAAGTTGGAGCCACTGCCCAGATTCTATGAGCATGCGGAGAACCTGGCGGAAGGGCACGCGGAGGGCCACCCGCAGGAGTATAATGAGAAATGATCCTTCCTGGGATATAGTATCGCTGTTGGTAGACGTGTAGTATCTGCCCCGGGGCTCTTTGACGATGATGAAGTTTAATGGCTGTGGTAATATGTTAGTTGATGGATGCGAGTGATAGTTGTTTGATACCTGAGCTTAATACTCGAGAATAATATCTGCTTTTTAGTACTTTTGATAAGCATGGAAATTCATAAATAATTTGTAGATGGAACTAGTTAGTGCGTGAGAGAGGTGTCGGATTGAAGTGGGTATCATGTGGTTGTGTGTTGATGATCTCAATCTGAGGAAGGAACGACAAGAACAACCAACTCAGGTAACCCTATCTGAACACTGTACAAGGTTGTCATACTAAGTACCCTCTTCTTTAGCACATGTCAGTGGGTCCAGGATGGCCTTGCAAATTCTCTTCAAGGAAAAGCAAAGATATTCGTTAATCCAACCACAGGCTACTCTGTCTCATGACAATACGCGCCGCGGTGAATGCCAGGGCTGTGATGCCCAAGGCACTTGCTAGAAACAGGCTCCCGCTTTTCTTCAGTTGACGTTTCTATATTCGTTGTTATGAGATAGTATGATCTGTGGATCTCCACCACATCTCACCTTTATTCCTGTATAAAGTCTTCCGTTCCACTAAATCGTTCTTCTTCGTAGGAGACAACGGTCTCGTCTCCGAGCTCTGCATAGTATTGCTGCAGTTGTTTGATCTTCACCTTGACGAAGTCCTCACGAGCCTTATGCATCTCAGGGGTGGTGGTAGTGTTGTATACCCTCTCTGCAATTGACTTACGCGGGCCCCAGCAGTATTCATCTAGTAAGTCCCAGTATATCATATCCTCTGACGGTACCATGCGACATGCCATATTGAACCACGCGCTTCTGTCCTGAATTGACTGGCGCATTCGTACTGACAGAACATGTTCAGCAGGGTCAATCCCCAACCCTGTCTCTTTCGCCTCCATGCACTGCAAGAAGAGGTCTGCTTTCGGTAAAAAATCCTCGAAGAACGCCTTTATGCCAGAGTTGTAGATGATCCGATGTGGTCGCTCCAGAAGTAGCCACCAGGGAATACTGCCGGCAAATTGGGCCGGAGCCGCATAACAGAATTCCCAATCAATAATACCGGTGATCTGAAAAGAGTCATTCACCAGAACGTTGCCAGGGCATAGATCATCGCAGAATAACTTGAAGGGTCCACAATTATCTTCAGGGGACAGAAAGTTCAGTGCTGACGCCTTCATCAAATGACGACAAGCGTATTTCTCGCGACAGTCCATGGCATCGTAGATACTGTTTCTTTGTTGTTGAAGATTCTTTGTCTGCAACTCGAGAAGCGAGGCGATGTAGTCCGTGGAGCTGTTATAGGTTCTCGGTGGATCAAGATCAGTCAGCCCGCATGTCCGGACCAGCTCGTTCATAGCGAGGGTTAAGGGCCGTTTGGTCACTTGTGGCTTGCCAGTCACTTCATTGTTAGCCAGGCTACCAATGCAATCGAAGTCGAGTTTCCACAGTTCCAGCAAGACCTGTGCCATTTGCCCGTACAGCGCCTTGAGCGTCTCCTCGTCGATATCTGGGTTGAGGGTTTCCTCCTTGTCGGATGAATCACTTGTCCGGAGTAGTTCCGACATCTTCCTCCCTTCGACCCAGATCATGATAATGAAGGGGCCCAGACCTGTAGGATTCTCGTCTGCTGTCCCGGAGGCAATCACTCGGGGAACGGGAATGGTCGTGTTGTCTGCGATATATGTCATGAGTATGGCTTCTCCGCGAACTTTCTCTTCCGGGAACATGGATTTCCCTGGAAGCGGAAACCTGATAAGCCAGTCATCGCCATCATCCTCCCAGTGTAGACGTAAACTAAAGTTGAAAGATCCACTGTGCATTGACCGAAGCAAGCAATCATCTCGGTTGCGGTACTTGTTGGCCAATTCGCAGATGCCGCTGGCGGATTTTGAACAGCGTTCCACCCATTCTTTCCTCAATCTATCAAACTGTGCGAGCGCTAGGTCATCGAAATCCATCAATCGGAGAGGTTCGGGGTCTTATGTTGTTCATGAACCTTACAATGGTCGAGTAATGAATGAACAACCCTGAGAGGGATAGATTCATACACCGCTTTGTTGACCTTGCTGGATGTAATGCTGTTGGTTCCTGGATCGGGTAACGGGCTAACCTATTACGGCCGGCTAGTCTCCGCATTGCCCAACAGATGTTAAATGTTGAAGTTGACCAAGAATAAGCCTAAGATGGAGCATGATAATCGTAATCTGAATATGTATTAAGTGATAGTCTATCGCTTTATCCTTCGCAGTGAAATGAGTTCTATCTATAACGGTCTATCAAATACAAACATATCAGTCCTCTAGGCAAAGCCAGGCTTGGTCATCTTGTGAACATAGTCCTCCAGGAGCCTATCCTCCTGCTCAACAATTGGCTCCACAACAGTCATGCCCCGATCGATCTCGGCCTTCAGACGCTCCCACTCATCCGAGGTACCATTGGCAGCAGCGGTCTCCTTACGCTGAACGGCATCCCCGTTAGCGTGACCATTCTCAGCTCCAGTGGCATGGCCATAAGCAGCCGTGGGGAAGAGGAACGGAGTGTAACCCGCAGCCTCGAAAGCATCCTTGGGAGGAACAGTGTAGCGGCCCTTCTTCAGAACGTACTTGCTGATGGACACAGCGTAGAGTCTCTTCTTCAACGCCTCGGGGTCATCCTGGCCCTTCTTTCCCTTACCCGGCTTCAGAAAGTAGGTGACGATGTAGATCCACTTCTGGTCGAAACTGGCCACATGCGACTTGACCTCGTACTTGGCGTATGCGGGAATCTCTCTCTTGAAGGTGGTGTAGACGCTGCCCAGAATGAAACCCAAGAAACCCTTCTTTCCTTGTTCCTGCAGACGCTTTTCCAGGAGCGCAGCTCCCTTCACGACGATACTGGACATGAGAGCGGTACGGGAGACATCGAGATCGGAGAAGTAGGTTGAGTTGGATTTGTGCATGTTGAAGTCGAGTTCCATGATGGGGGCGCGAGAGTAGATGCTGACGGGCTCGAGAACCTCGGTGCAGGGACGGGCGGGCTGTTCGACGGCAGGGGTGATGAGGTAGCCATGCTTAAAGAAGTAACGGTACACGCGGACCTGGGGCTATCAGCAAATTGACATTCAAATAATAAAGGTATGCGAAGGGACCGAATGCGACGTACATGCCATATCATGGGGAGGGTCTTCAGGTTGAGCAAAGCGAAGAAGATGGCAGCAGCTTTCCAGAAGGTGACGGACTCCCAGAGGGAGCTCGCCAACGAGCGAATGGCCTCCATGTGGAGATTCTGAGAGCAAAAGAAAATTAAGAACAAACGAAGGAATATGTACAGAAAGAAAATGACACAGTCTATGATGGTCTATGCATGAAGGATCGCCTACAACAAAAGGGCGGGATTCCAGAAGGCTTAAAGAAAGGCAGGGCGGCGGCGGAAAAACTTGCCGTGGGGCGGCTGGACCGATTAGTGATAAGCTCCGATAAGCTGCTGCCGAGGTTTGCCCCAAAAAGGGGTGTGCTTCCGTGCAAACTTTGATGCGCTTTCCACTGTCCCTGCTATACGCTTTGGCTGTGCACACTGCACAATTTGGGTTCCACTGTCGATCCCGATCGGGAAGTAGTTGTTCGATCACATAGTCCGTCATGCCTGATGGTGCACCTACACAAATAAGTGCCAGCATGTAAAGCTCATAAGAATTCTCAATACTTGCCGTGTGGCAAGCAGGCTCTCCGACCACCCATTTTCTTTCATTCGACCATCACTTGTTTTGGCAAGGGGGGAGAGAGAGAGAGCTTATCCCTCAGATCCCCAACAGAATGTTGTTGGTGTCTGCTTCTCCACTCCACTGAGTAATGTGGAATTCGATCTGGTCTCCACCAAGTGCGGCTGGTAGCTCAGCTTTCTTCTACGCGCCACCATGATTGCACAATGGTGACATGGCACACTGAAAGAAGGACAGCTATATGTGTAGAAAAGATGTTCACAGCTGCACCTGGTCTCTGCAAGTAGCTTTGGAACGCAGAGGAGGTCGGAGATCTTCTACCCAATATTAGCGGGGAAGCCGAAAGCTAAGTCTGTTATCTGAATCTGCATCTTCAGGTTTTGTCCAGTGTGAAGCGCACATGCTGAATCATGTACACTATGTACAATGTCAAAACGGTACCCTGTCTTTCAGAGAACTTTAAAAAAAAAAGGGGGTATATTACCAAATCCCATTGCTTACCCCGCAATCCCGCCGGGAATATCCCCGGTCTCTCCTCTCCTGACGTGATGAATATCGGGGTAGAATTGGCCCGATTGAATGATTAATAGTATTATTCCACCAATCCACCCGCATAGGGGCAGGCCCCATGGCACTTGGAGTAATTGAACCTGCATATGCGTGCCATTTCTGCATGAGCATTCCACGCCACTTACCTCCATGTAGTGTTCGCCGTTTTCTCGCGTGGTTAATAGCGCAAAATGGTGTCAAACCCATGATTCTTTAACCGGCTGGGCAGTTCAATCGCCGATGATATATAATGTGAGGATAAGGCATAGATGCTAAGAAAATATTGCGCGTGGGCGATAATACCATGAAGCTGCAGTTCATACTCTCGTTCTGGGCCATCTTGGTGGCCCAAATCCGGGCAACTACAGATGGTCTGACAGATCTGGTCGCCTGGGACCCTTATAGTCTGACCGTCAATGGCAATCGCTTGTTTGTCTATTCCGGAGAGTTCCATTATCCCCGATTGCCCGTTCCGGAAATGTGGCTTGATGTCTTTCAGAAGATGCGCGCTCATGGCTTCAACACTGTTAGGTTTGTGCAATGTGAATATCCAAGAGTTCTCCCAGACCCGTGACTTCTGACGGCTGTCATATAGTCTATATTTCTTCTGGGACTATCACTCTCCAATCAATGGGACATATGACTTTGAGACCGGAGCACACAATATCCAGCGCTTATTTGACTATGCCCAAGAGGCCGGAATCTACATCATCGCACGGTTAGACATAATTACTCACCGTGTCCTCGGGAATTGCTGACCTTATACCAGTGCTGGGCCCTACTGCAATGCTGAATTCAACGGAGGTGGTCTGGCACTATACCTGAGCGACGGGAGCGGTGGTAAATTGCGAACGAGCGATGCGACATATCACCAGGCATGGACTCCCTGGATTGAGCGTATTGGTAAGATCATTGCGGAAAATTCCATCACAAACGGTGGGCCAGTCATTCTCAACCAGATTGAGAATGAACTTCAGGAGACCACGCATTCTGCGACCAATACCTTGGTCGAGTATATGGAGCAGATTGAGGAGGCATTTCGAGCTGCTGGCGTGGACGTTCCCTTCACTAGCAACGAGAAAGGCCAGCGATCTCGAAGTTGGTCGACAGACTATGAGGATGTGGGTGGTGCGGTCAACGTCTACGGCTTAGACTCGTACCCGGGAGGGCTCAGTTGCACCAACCCTTCCACAGGATTTTCAGTCGTACGGAACTATTATCAATGGTTCCAAAACACCAGCTACACGCAGCCCGAGTACTTGCCTGAGTTCGAAGGTGGTTGGTTCTCTGCCTGGGGCGCCGACTCTTTCTACGATCAGTGCACGAGTGAGCTGAGTCCACAATTTGCGGATGTGTACTACAAGAACAATATTGGTCAGCGAGTCACCCTCCAGAACCTGTACATGCTGTACGGGGGTACAAACTGGGGCCATCTAGCTGCACCTGTGGTGTATACTTCATGTAAGTACTCCCGTTAGGTTCCGCAGGCAAAGCCATACTTACCTGCTGTAGACGACTACAGCGCTCCTCTTAGAGAGACTAGACAAATCAGAGACAAGCTCAGTCAGACGAAGCTCGTTGGTCTGTTCACTCGAGTGTCTTCTGGCTTGCTGGGAGTCGAAATGGAAGGGAATGGCACCACTTACACATCGACCACCTCAGCATACACATGGGTGCTTCGGAATCCCAACACGACCGCCGGTTTCTATGTCGTGCAGCAGGCTACCACATCCTCGCAGACAGACATCACGTTCTCCCTGAATGTAGATACTTCTGCGGGCGCGTTCACCTTACCTAATATCAATCTGCAAGGCAGGCAAAGCAAGGTGATCTCGACTGATTACCCACTCGGCCATAACACGCTCTTGTACGTGTCAACCGACATCGCGACATACGGCACTTTTGGGGACACTGATGTTGTCGTGCTCTATGCACGCTCTGGACAGGATGTGTCGTTTGCCTTCAAGAACACGACTAATCTGACCTTCGAGGAATATGGTGATTCGGTGAACATGACTAGCAGTTCAGGTAATCGTACTATTACCTCATACACTTACACTCAAGGCAGTGGTAGCAGCGTTGTGAAGTTCTCAAATGGCGCCATTTTCTATCTCCTGGAGACGGAGACGGCATTCCGATTCTGGGCACCACCTACCACAACAGACCCTTATGTGACAGCGGAACAGCAGATATTAGTGCTGGGCCCATACCTAGTCCGCAATGTGAGTATCTCTGGAAGCGTTGTGGATTTGGTTGGAGACAATGACAACGCCACGACCGTGGAAGTATTCGCTGGGTCTTCCGCAAAGACTGTCAAATGGAACGGTAAGGAGATCAATGTCCAGAAAACAGATTATGGGAGCCTTGTGGGATCGATCGGTGGCGCCGATACCAGCACCATTTCGCTCCCCAGTTTGACCGAATGGAAAGTTCGCGACTCCTTGCCCGAGACCCAGTCTTCCTATGATGACTCCAAGTGGACGGTGTGCAACAAGACTACAACCCTGAGTCCTGTTGACCCACTCAGTCTGCCTGTCTTGTTTGCCTCCGATTATGGCTATTATACCGGCATCAAGATCTATCGCGGTCGGTTCGATGGTGCTAACGTGACTGGAGCGAACTTGACTGCGCAAGGAGGTCTGGCCTTTGGTTGGAATGTCTGGCTGAACGGGGATCTTGTGGCCTCGCTTCCAGGTGATGCCGACGAAACGTCGTCTAACACAGTTATCAGCTTCTCCAACCATACCTTGAAGCAGACCGATAATCTGCTGACAGTCGTGGTAAGTTAGCACGCAGATACCCTAGCTTAAACCTACATCGTTAATCCCCTTACCCAGATCGACTACACCGGACATGACGAGACGTCTACTGGTGATGGCGTGGAGAACCCTCGAGGACTTCTCGGAGCAACCCTCAATGGTGGTTCATTCACGAGCTGGAAGATCCAAGGAAACGCTGGAGGTGCCGCTGGTAAGGACTCCACTGGGCCCCTTCTCTCCGTCGCACTAGACTAAGAACATTGTTCTCTTTGTGACAATAGGAGCATATGAGCTTGACCCGGTGAGAGCACCCATGAACGAAGGTGGCTTGCTCGCCGAGCGTCAAGGTTGGCATCTTCCAGGATACAAGGCGAAGTCATCGGACGGCTGGACGGATGGATCCCCGCTCGATGGACTCAACAAGTCAGGTAAGGATTAATATCTTGATGTCGCTGCCCGTTGTTATCCGCATCTAACCCAGAGTGATAGGTGTCGCATTTTATCTGACCACCTTCACCCTTGACCTCCCCAAGAACTATGACGTTCCTCTCGGTATCCAATTCACCTCACCGTCGACCGTCGACCCGGTGCGCGTCCAGCTCTTCATCAATGGATACCAATATGGCAAATATGTTCCATATCTGGGGCCGCAAACAACGTTTCCCATCCCACCTGGAATCATCAACAACCGCGACAAGAACACCATTGGCCTCAGCCTGTGGGCGCAGACGGATGCGGGTGCCAAGTTGGAGAACATCGAGCTGATCAGCTATGGTGCGTATGAGAGCGGCTTCGATGCAGGCGATGGGACGGGCTTCGATCTTAATGGAGCTAAATTGGGGTATCAGCCTGAGTGGACGGAGGCTCGCGCACAGTATACCTGATGAAGATCAGTCATTGGTTTGTAGTAATTGTTGTCATTGTCACTACTAAAAGTAGAGGCAGTAGTATATATTTATTTCAAAGGCTAGTGAAATAACATAGCAGTCGATGGGGGATACTCCAATGGTATACTGTAAGAGTAGCCCAGTAGAATAATTGTCTCTCATCTGTAAAAATGTAAGTGACACCCTAGGATCTGACTCTGGAACTAAGTGTGTGTGCCAGCCAGAAGAGCTGTGGGGGAGGGATGGGAGGAGATGCTGTGGGATCCCCGCCTTCTGCCTCAGGCAAGAAGGAGGGACCCACCCGATAAGAGCAACAAACAAAGCGCGTCGCGTCCGGCAAGTTCTGTACGCAGCTGTATGGTATCAAGTATTGCCATTTATTTGTTGCATACGGGAAAGCTGATGCACATATCGAAATGATTAGGCTAGAGATGCTGGCATCTCCCACTGACTACGGAGTATGCTCACTCACGTTTCGCAGTTACACCTCATATGATAAAGATACAATTGGGGCCCTGCCCGATTCTATGTACGTTCTATATCTGCCAACCAACTACCACTTCCCACATATCCTATGTACAGTCGACTCTAGTTATCGGGGCGGGAGCCACCAAGCAGCTGGTACCGCACCTGGGCCAGAAGGTTGTTGACACCGTCCTTTCCAAGCTTGTAGTAAACCAGACCACCAAGGGCGATGGCGTATCCGAAGGCCTGGAGAGGAGTAACGGGGTCGCGGAAGATGACCATCGAGGCAACGACGAGGAGGATATCCTTGAGAACTCCGGACAGAGTAAGGACGAGAGCGGAGGTTTTGCCAATCTAGCAAGAATTAGCGAACTGATGCTGACGAATTCATTTTCAGCAAGACATACCAGGAAGACGACGGCAACGTTGAGTCCGAAAGCCACGGCGGCGTTAAGGAACAGAGTACCCATGCCGAGTTGGTAGATGTCCGACATGTGCAGCGAGGGGAGCTCGACAACCGCAGTGACGACGGCGTTCATCACGGCGCAAGCAGGTGCGAAGTAGTACAGGGAAACCAGGGGGTCCATCTTGAATTCGGCAGAGCTGAGCAGGCGCTGAACCATGACCAGACGGACGGACTCAAAGATGGTGGCAAAGAACTGGCCTAGAGGAGTGTAAATAAATTGGCCAGTCGCAGGAAGTAGTAGAAGACCTACAGATGAAACCGATCATGGTGAACTTGATTTCACCAATGGAGGCAATGATAACACCGAGGACGATGAAAGAGATGTTTCCGAGCAGGCTGAGCTTCACCGGCGCAATGCCCATGGCCCAGGTAGCAAGCAGTGTGGCCACAGAGTTGGTGGCCTGACCACATTAGCGGGAGTTTTGCACATGGAGTCGAATGTATTCACCTTGAGCATCTGGATAAAGGACACACTGAGATAGAGATAGGCGAGGTTGCCGCAGATCAGACTGAGAGAGAAGAATGCGCCAATGGGGACGATGGCACGCCTATAATGACAATATCCGATTAGACACAGCCATTGATTGTAATTTCCACGACGATTTCACTGACATGTATACGCGAGAGGTCATGGGCACCTGGTGACGGGAGTCGAGCAGAGTAGTGAACCGCGCCATGAGGCGGGTCATGATGGTAGCGAAAACGAGATGCCATGTGGTCAGGAAGATGGCTGGAGCATGTTAGTCGCTTGCGACGGTTTATCTCGGCATGAAGATTGGAATTGACGTACGGAAATCTGTGAAAGAGAAGTAACAACGGTCAGTCTACTAATCGCATACCGCAACAGCGCAAAAGACGGGCTCAACTCACTGAATCCAGCGGTATGGAGAATCCACTTGTTGAAGATGATCACACCGGAACTGAGAGCAATCCAGGTACTAGAGAGACATTAATGAACATTCCAAAGGCAGCCACCACAGATATAGAGTCGTACGCGATGTAGAAAGCCGGGTGCATGGCGGCCTTGGAAGGCTCCGCGGACACAGGCGTGTTGACGGTCGGCAATTGGGATTTAGCAGCCATGATGAACGGTCGCACACGAGCGGACTGGCGAGGTCGTAAGAGAGATGGGATGACAAGGGAGGTCGACAGGAATCGGGCAGGAGGAACTCCGCAGAATGCTGCTGAGAAAGAAGAAGAAGAAGAAAAAGAAGAAAAAGAAGACCGACGAAAAGAAAGAGGACAGCAAGGAGAATAAAAAAGCTTAGCGACGGCAGGTGAAAAGCGCAATGAGACTCCGTTGGACGTTTGTTTGTTGGTGGAGCCCCGCCGGTCGTCAGCCGCTAATTCTGGTTTGCTGCTCGGGTTCCTGATCGGCGTCCCTCTTTCACTCTTCAATCTTCTCTCTCTCTCTCTCCAGCCACTTTCCCCCAGCCCACGTTCCTTCAATTCTATACTATACTATACACCCAGTTTTCAGGGTCTCTTTCATCCTCGCCGATCATCTTCCTCTCTTACGCATCCGCATTGTCATCTTGTCCTGCCACACTCGATCAATGCCCATTGAGATGGCAGCTGAAAAAAGACACTATACATAGTAACCCCAACCAGTCGAGCAACAGCCGATCGACTCCAGGGCCACGCGGCCCTTTGGGTCCAGCCTCGTCCCTCCGCGTCATCGCCCCTCCAGGCGTCAAATCCTATCCCGATGGCGTTACTCCGTCCTCCGAGCTCTAAGACATGCCCACTGTCTATCTCGAACACACTAACCACTTTGATCGCTTCAATCGCTGGTACCATACCAATAAGGAAACTCACAATACCCGTTCGGAAAGTGGGTGGAGTCTGGTTGACCAAGGATATCTTCCGTGCACCCAGGGTTCTTCTGCCAGGGTCTTCGATATTTGCGGAGACTGTGTGCTTATCGATAGGAAATATATCCACAATCTTTCCCCCCTAATTCACAACTGAAAAGGGATGCCTTGCATACAACAATTTTTTTTCTCGTCGTAGGTCTTGGGCTGTGACACCCACCTTCAACACACTCTGCTCTCCATGACGTACGGGGGATGTGAAACTTGGCAACGATGTTCTCCGACGCCTTATTCGTCATCCCACTGACATCTGCCTTGTCAAACATGGAACGCAGGAGAGGCAAAGTTGAAACACGATCCCGCCGTATTGCGGAGCATCGATACTCCGAACGGTTGATCGGCTTACGAAGCTTGTCACCCCAAAGCTACTATAGTAGTCAATACTATAGTTGACCGCAATAAAAGGCTAAATAAGGGTCCTTTGGGTGCTCCAACGCTGGGAAATCTCCGACCGTTAGGCTACCTAATCTGCTATCTCTACCCGTTAACCCACTTACCCATCTTTGGTCCCCCGAATGAAAGAAAACAAAGTACTACAAGCGGGCCTATGGCACTGAGCCAGGAGTGGGGCATTTGCTCCAATCGTTCATCTGTTATCGATTTATCAAGTTTGTGAAGCTCGCCGGAGCTGTCTAAGCTGGTCAGTCCATCGCCAGTTCCGCTCTGCAATCCGCCAGCACCGAAGCGTCTGCACGTAGCCCCATTTTGTCAGCTACGTATCTGCCTCTTAACTAGATGGATGTCGCCATTCGTCCACTAAGAACGCCATTCCCCACGGCCGACGGACTCCGGCGCAAGGGCCTGATAAGCGCTAGCTCCGACTCCGAGTTAGTCATGCGGCGTATTACACGCTCTTCTCCCCTCACGATGTTGATGCTTTCTCTGTTGTCTCTGGTATACCCAGTAAAGCCCAGGCTGTGATACTTGAATTATCCTTGTTTTCAGCCTTTTCACCATGTTGACTAGTCTGGTGCTTGGGGGACTTCTGGGTCTAGCGACCGCTCAATTCCCTCCCGAGCCCGAAGGCATCACCGTGCTCAAGTCCAAGTTGCATGAGAATGTGACTATTTCCTTCAAAGAGGTGTGTACAGAGGATCTAGAAATAGATTCTATACTCGTTCCTGTACTGATTTTCAGCCTGGAATTTGTGAAACCACACCGGCTGTCCGATCTTATTCGGGCTATGTACACCTTCCCCCCGGATTCCTTTCCGACGGGACAGGAGAAACTCAGGATTATCCCATCAACACGTAAGTAGAACCTTGAAGTATTGGAGGATGAGCGATCACTGAACCTCAACCAGCTTCTTCTGGTTTTTCGAAGCCCGCAAAGATCCCAGCAATGCGCCTCTGGCCATTTGGCTCAATGGAGGTCCGGGTGGTTCGTCGCTCATGGGGCTCCTCGAAGAATTAGGCCCCTGTTCCATTGCATCGGACTCCAAGACCACAGTCCTCAATCCTTGGAGCTGGAACAATGAAGTCAATCTCCTATTCCTTGATCAGCCAACTCAAGTCGGCTTCTCATACGATGTCCCAACCAATGGCACTTTAGTTCGGAATACTGACGGCGAAGAAGAAATCATTTCCGGTGATTTCTCCATTGATATTCCTCAGTCCAACTTCACCCACCATGTTGGTACCTTTGCAAGCCAGAAGCTTGCACAGACAGCTAATGGGACTGCATTTGCGGCTCACGCTCTATGGCATTTCGCGCAAACCTGGTTCTTCGAATTCCCACACTACAAGCCAAATGATGATCGCGTCAGTCTCTGGGCTGAAAGTTACGGAGGCCACTATGGTCCAGGTATCTTTCGCTTCTTCCAACAGCAGAATGACAAAATTGCAGAGGGTACTGCAGAAGACGGTGCACAGTATTTGCACCTTGACACACTTGGCATTGTGAACGGTTTGATGGATATGGTGATCCAAGAAGAGGCTTACATTACTTGGCCCTACAATAATGTAAGGCTAGTCTCGTCCTGCTTCAATTTGTGTATTGTCTAATTCTGTCCAGACATACGGCCTTGAGATCTTCGATAAACCCCTTTACGAAGAACTGATGTATAACTGGACGCATCCAGGAGGCTTCCGCGATCAGGCCCTCGCCTGTGAAGCGGCTCTGAAAGAACGTGATTCCGGCTTGCCTCACCCAAGGAAGAATGTCTCTGAAATTTGCGGAGGTCTTGCACTCGAATGGGGAGATGGTCCCATCACCTACTACCACACTTTCAATCGCGGGTGGTACGACATTGCTCATCCTAAGAACGACCCATTCCCTGCCAAGCACATGCTCGGGTATTTGACGCAGGAGTCCGTCCTGGCCGCTCTTGGGGTACCCGTCAACTTCACATCGTCTTCGAGTGCCGTGGCTACACAGTTCATAAATACATTTGACATCGTTCATGGCGGCTTCCTGGATGCAATTGGTTATCTTCTCGACAGCGGGGTAAAAGTGCACATGATGTACGGTGATCGTGATTACGCCTGCAATTGGGTCGGGGGCGAAAAAGCCAGCCTTGCAGTCCCTTACTCGCGAATTACTGAATTTGCCGACACGGGATACTCCCCACTTCTTACGCCCGACGGGATTAGCGGCATGACCCGCCAGCTGGGCAACTACAGTTTCACTCGCGTCTTTCAAGCCGGGCACGAGGTCCCCTCCTACCAGCCTGTCGCGGCGTATGAGATCTTCATGCGGGCGACATTCAACAAGGATATCCCGACTGGCCTCTTAGCTGTTGGCGATAATTTCCAGACTATTGGACCCAAGGATACGTGGCATATTAAGAATATTCCTCCGGTTATGCCAAAGCCGCAGTGCTATGTCCTGAGTCCTGAGACGTGTACACCGGATGTTTGGGAGACCGTTGTGAACGGATCTGCGACCGTAAAGGATTGGTATGTCGTCGAGGGTAGCGCGGGTGCTGAGGAGCGGGAGGGTTTCAGCATTCTGGGAGGAGATGAGCTGTAGTAGCTTAGAGGTCTACTGCACAACCTCGGTAGCACTTAGATTGAGATCTCAATCATGAGCGATATCGATATAGTCTGCTCTCTCATCTACGAAAACGTGATAAATACTATCTAGCAATAAAAGCGGACCAATCAGCCGAAAAGGATCACGTGATGATCCATCAAGGTTGCGCGTTCGATCCGGCCCCTGACCGTTGTCGTAAAATCCAAGGATAAAGCACTGCCGAAGAATATGGCCACCACCACCAATGAAGAGCTGGGGTGTGCCGAGCAAAGAGGCAATGTGTGGACGTGCAGAGACAGACTAGCCCATCGCCCAGCAGCTGGGGTGGTATTTCGGCTGGTCAAGTCTGCAAAGTATGAGATGGTTCACATCCTTGGGTCTTCAACTTGATGAGTTGACTGAGAGTGAGAGGGGCTGCTCTTAGATAGGTTTATAACATATATCTACGACACACCAGTTCCTGCCACAAGGGGCCTCCCAATGTGCTGTCATTCGGTCCAAAGGCTAGTTCGCCTTAAGCCTGCGGCTCGGTTGTAGATCATACATTATTCAATACAAGGTTGTATGATAGAGCTTCGAAACCCGTCTTATTCAACTATTAAGATAAAACTAAAAAATAAAATAACTCCCTCGTCAAATGCAACAAGATATTAAGTATTACATATATTCCAATCAATGGAAGCTTCATGCATATCCATCACGCAGCCCGTTCTATACCAAGTAGGTCGTATCCCTCGTGAAAATTGTGGCCAACGCTATCACGCGCGTGTGGACATGCCCCTCATAGCTATGTTGTGTCGTGTCAGTTGAATGAGTAGCTAAATATCTTTGAAATTTCACATACTTACAGTACTGAGTAGAACCATAGTCGATGCTATCCGGGCCCTGTTGGAAAGAGGACCCCTTCTGGGGCCTAGTCTTGCTCTGAGCCAGGGTAGTTGCGTCGCTGAGAACAGATGCGGAATCTTCGACGTGATCTTCCGTGGGTTTGACGTTTTCATCAGACTTGGATTTGCTAGTTTGTCTGGCCTTGAAGGATCTGTAGAGGCCGTTCAATGGAGTGAGAGGCATGTTGATGATGATGAAGTTGATTGTTGCAGGGAAGTGAAGATAGTGGAGTGATCGATTTGAGAGAAACTGAGGACTTGATTGCAACTGCTCTTGATTGTTCTTGTCTACTAGTTCTACATGACCTTGCTGGGGAAGGCTTTATATACTCGATGCAAGCAAGCTGAGGCATATACTTGGCGAACTGGTTAGGGTCGGCACTCGGAGCTCAGCGCACGAGCCATCGGACCACAAGCCACTGTCTCTCAACTTGTAGCAAAGGATCGAGGCTATACTAACAACGGCTAAACAACAATGGCTAATAAGGCTGCCTGTCCACTTATCTCCTTTCTTTATCTCCCCCCGCTTCCTCGTCGCTTTCTTTTTCTTTCTGTTGGGTGTTCGGAGTCGGACCTCAACTACGGACCTCATTTACGTTTGACTCAGAGGCATCTGCCTGCGCATCGCCATGTCTGCTCCACGCCGTAATGGACAATTATCATCCTGTGAGCCTTGCAGGAAGTCCAAGCTCCGGTGCGATCATTCAGCTCCAACATGTAATCGATGCGTCCGTCGGGGTAAATCGGACCTCTGTGTTTACCACCCAGCTCCGCTCACTAAGCCGCGTGAATTATCACGACCACTCAAGGCTACCAAGATAGCAACCAAGGAACAAACGCTGGTGCCTGCAAAGACGCTGACATGGGATAGTCTGGGCGCTTCATCCCCGGTGTCTGTGTTAGGGTCAGCGGCATTTCCCAATTCGTCGAAGCTTCCATTCTCAGGATCGGGGTTCCTGGGCCCTACCAGTTACTCTGGTGCTTTCAGCAATAGTGAGCTGGATGTCGTGGACTTTCCTTCATCCACCAAATCCACCCCTATCGACCCTCAGCAGGTGGCACGGGGTGCCCAGGTCCTCTTTCTGTTAGAGCACCTACCGCTGTATGCCGAAATTTCAGAGAAGCGCTTTGCCGTTTCGACGGGATGGGTTTTCGGTATCGAACTGATGGATCAGTTGTTCAAGGTCCTAGGAGAGGTTTACCGCAATGCAATCCAGGGCTCGGGAAACAAGTATGCGCGCCTTCTGGATCTCTCCAGGGCCTTTTTTAAGAATACATCAACTCCTATCGTGACCCATGAGTCGATGTCGTTGGCCGAATACTTCTCGTTGGCATCGCCGCGCTGGGAGATATTATCTTTACTTTTCGCCTTTGTTGGTACGGCAACATACCAAATACCACCGCATGGTCTGGGACTGGAGCATCAGGACGAAATAACAAGCAAAGAAGGGTTGCGACAAATATGCATGCAGGCAAGCCAGACATGTCTGCAGTTTTGCAATCATTTAGGGACCCTCAGTGACCCTTTGTCGTGGGCTATGCTCCAGCATGCAATTTATCTATCGCATATGCATGGCAGTAGCGGTATGTCATTGACAGTATATCATGGTTCATATAGCAGCTAAGAAAAACTAGATCACAGAACATGGCAAATGCTCGGAGATATCACGACCACAGTCTTCGCACTCGGACTGCACCAACCAGATACCGATACCACAGCTCCATTCTTTTTGAAGGAGACCCGGAAAAGAACAATGGTCGGGGCATATGCGTTCGACAAAGAGCTTGCCACTTTCCTAGGCAGGCCACCACGGATATGTTGGCGTTATTGCAATATCCAATACCCATTGGACATGAGCCACGAGGAAATTGTTGCCGAACCCGCTATAAGAGACGCAGCTATTGCACGCTTAGATCCCGAAGGCTGGAATATCGACGGCCGCATCGACAAGGGAGCCAACGCTCGAGCCGGACTGGCTGCTAGTATCGATAAAGAGAACGCGTTGGAAATATCACTCAGTAACAGGCTAGACGGGTTAGAGGAAAAGGTTCAGTGAGTGGCACGACATCAAAACTACGATCGGATTAACATTAACTAGTAGCTGCTGAACAGAAATGCGTGCAAAAAGTCAGACGAACTACGACGCAGTCTACCTGCATGCCTACAGTGGACAGAGGATAAAACAGATCCGCAAGTTGCGTCTTATCACGTGGAATTTCTTTACCATGAGTTCCTGCTATTGCAGACTCTCTACAAACGGGTTGGAAAGGGTATTGATGCTCTCGCCAACAAGGCTCTGGAAATCATTAGCACCCTACTGCATATGGTATCATTAGAGACGCGCTCAGGCCGAGTCCACCCAAGCGTGATCTTAGATGTGAGTTTTGGTCTATACAACTGTACCTTTGCTCCCACTTCTCACCAACCCAGCTCTGCTACATCGGCCTTCCTGCCGCCGGTACACTTTGCACCGAACTTCTGCGACGATCACAGCCGCAAACTAGCGTAGCCACCGCATCATCACATATACCGTTTCCCCGTTCCGACATCATACAGAAGTTGAGCGTGTTCGTCGCGCAGTTGAAGACCTTCTCTCGCCAGCAAGAGGGCAACTACGAGATCTGCATCAAGGGGCAGAGGATTATTTCGCAGGCGCTAGATCGGGTGCTCTCACCAGCACCGGTAGGCGTGGTAGCTTCTAGTGACATCTCTTTGGATACTGAGGCACCAGGAGGGGACATTGGAGATAATGACTTTATGGCATTTCTGGAGACGTTTGACTGGGAGCAAGAGATGAGGTTTACTTTCGGATGCTGAATGAGCAGCCAAGCACGTCCTGCAACGAGATTACGCGTAGATATTCGCCGTCGTGACTTGAAGTAGCTCAATATCTACTAGATTGCAACTAAGGGGGTAATGCATGCTATATTCTGGAGTCGCTGCACAGCTGGTTGAGGCTGGTGATATAGTAAGAATGTTCATTAACGAGCTCGAATAGGTAATTGAGCGGAACGATCGGCGGGTTTCACTGATGATGGAAGGTTTAAATTGAATAGCGCAGTCCCGTCTACCCAGACCAGCAAATAATTCCGAGCAGGTGCTTTGAATTCCCACAGTTTTGCGCGTCCTCTGCCCTAATAAACTAGGGTGAAACCGATAACCATTTTTTTACCCACTATTTACCAGACTCTTTGCTGATATCTTCACGGGAACCGGCGGACGGACATCAGAGACGTCTGGGCCACCATCTCCGACGCCGTCAATTAAGGTCATGAACGCACCGTCGACTACTATAATCGGTGCGGATCGTAATAACGGAATGGTAGCCAGAAACCATCATGCATGGCGTGCGCTAACTGCCCTCGAGCACGTATGATGTTTTGACACGCCATGGTTTTGAAGTCCGAGGGATCTGCATGCCTTGCAACTCGTTAGTTAGGCCCAAGGGTAGGTATAAAAACCTTCTCTCCTTCGGCCTTCAAGAAAGATGAAGACAGTATTCTGCTTCACATCACATACAATCCCTCGTTTCCTACAGTGTCTGCGAACATGAGAATCAACGAGAGGTCCACTCGTGGCCTCAGTGTCCTTTCCCTACTGGCTCCGGCTAGCGCCACTCTCTATGACCAGGCCATCCAGCTCGCCCAGGGCAAGGTGCAAGGTGCTGCTGCATTCAACGAAAGCAGTGCACCGTCCTACATCTCGAACTGGAAAGACATCGCCGTTTGGAAGGGTATTCCATATGCCGCCACAACCGGTGGAGAAAACCGCTGGAAGCCACCACAGGGTGCCCCATCCTGGAATGGCACCCTGAAAGCTACTGCATTTGGGCCCAGCTGTCCTAGCTCTTCAGCTGGCGACGGGGTGAGCGAGGACTGCCTATCGATCAATATCTGGAGTCCCGCCACCTCCACCGATGCCAAACTGCCAGTCATGCTGTGGTCCTATGCGGCCGGAGGTGAATCCAGCCAGAGTACCTATGACGGTGCAGGAATGGCGGCAAAGGATGTTATCTTTGTCAGCTACAACTACCGCACAGGGCCTCTCGGCTGGCTCACATTGCATGAGCTGGCCGAGGAGACTGGTGCGACGGGCAACTATGGTCTCCTCGATCAGATCGAAGCTCTGAAATGGGTATATGAAAATATCGCCGCTTTTGGCGGAGACCCCGAGTCCATCACTGTGGCCGGTCAGTCCTTCGGCTCGGGCGCTGTTTACCATATGGTCAACAGCCCCTGAACCAAAGGTATGATCAAGGGTGCGATCGCAGAGAGTGGCCTCAAGGACCCATACGATCCAGACCTGTGGGGATACGGAAGTGAGTACCGGAACATGACCTGGGCGGATGCCTTCAGCAAGACCTACGCTGAGTCACTCAATGCGACGAGCGTGGCTGACTTGCGCTCTATGGACCTCGAAACGGTCCTTAGCGGTGCTGGTGTTTCCGATTTCACCGGCTTCGATCCAGTGCTCAACTACCACGCGATTCCCAACAAATACATCGTCAGCCTAGACGAAGGTGCTCCCAACGACGTGCCCATTTTGGTTGGTAACAATAAGGACGAGGATGGCATCAATCTGTCCACAACCTATACCATCACCGAGTACAAGTCAGAGATCAATTCCACCTACGGACCTTACACCGCCGAGCTACTGGCGCTGCATCCGGCCAAAAACACCACCCAAGCCACAGCCGCATACAACTCGATCCTACGTGCTGGATATTGCACTTCCACCTAGTCATAAGCTAAGCGCTGGAATCAGTCCTCCACTGAGCCCGTATACTACTACCTCTGAACCTACTCTCCCCCTGGTTCGGACGGAGCCACCCACGGCTCAGAGGTATCCTACACATTGAACAACCTCTACGCCCAGACGACCTCTTCGTACACCGACACCGACTACAAAGTTGCCGATATCATGTCCTCATACTGGGCCAACTTTGTCAAGACACAAAACCCGAATAAGGGAGACTCCTACAACAACAGTTCCCTGCTGTACTGGGGTCCTAATGTACCGGCCCAGCAAAACACATTCGAGCTTGGCAGCCTGTAGAAAAAGATTACTTTCACAACAGCCAAGGAGATCCAGTTGTACTTAGAGTACTTCAAGTATACTATGCCCAGTCCGTACTAGATATAGTGGGCATTTCCGGTAAATATACATATATCCTCTCCCGTTCGGGGTTGACATTCTCTACTCCCGCGTACCCGCTGCTCAAGACTGTGAGTGCATGAATGCGCCGGGGGACACTAGCACCGTAGAGGAAACAGGTCCGGTTCCAGGCGATAGTCTGTGAGTATAATTAAGCTGGCAGGATTAGTTAGGATTCGGAATTTGAAAGAACCTACGTGGAATGGCACGGCAACTCACAGAATTTGTGGGGATACATTACGTAGGGCCGTCGGGGATCGGAGGGAGAAAGACATGGCCACCTCCGACTGAACCCTCAAATAGGGTTTCCCGAGGCACAGGTTTTTCCCCCACAGGACCGGGATAGAACAGCCTGTCCCCATCCAAAACTTGGATCCCTGATATTTTTAAGTTGTCGTCTCGATCTAAAATACAAAGTGGACATCATCTGATGGATAACAAGAAAGCAAAAAGAACAGCGAATGAGGAATGAATGTCAATGTCGAGGCAATATTCGTTCCTGTAGCAGGTTATTAAGATGTTTTGCATGAATTGTGAGACTATCTGGTGCCTAGAACACAAGAACCACAAAGCTTAAGTTAAATATGCGGAGTGTTGAATCTATATCCATTACACTGCCTCAGTACCACAACGCCTTGTTCCAGAAGAGGCTCTTGTCGTTGGCAAGATCATCGAAAGTAATGGACATAGTCGTATTGAAGTTGATGGTGTTCGTCGCATTTCCATACTTCGGCCAGTAGATCTTGTCGTTGGGCCAGAGGGTGTTGGGGTTGCCGGTTAGGACGAATGAAAGGAGGTACTTTTGCATGGTGCGCTGCAAAAGAAAGTCAGTCCATAGAAATAAAGTATCAATCAATTGAGGAAAGACCATACCGCAACGGTGACATTGACCGACGAGGAGGAAGAAGAAGTCAACACATTAGCCGGCACAGTACTATAAGTACTATACCAGTAATAAGTCTGATCCGTACCATGAGTAGCTTCCCCAAGATTCACAATAGCATTCCACGTCATAATAGTACTAAATGCACAACAAATGTAGAAGAAAGAAAGGCAGTAAGTTGGAAGAGTGTCTCTAGTGCTTGAGACATGTTATATACCTGTAGCTATCTCCTCTAGCCCTACGTCGGTCGATCTCTATCATGAAAAGGTATGGTCCAGCCAAGACAGAATGCGTCGTCTCCTGGCGCTCTTCTCCCTCTTCAAGCTATCAGACCAACAAAGGGTATTACGAGATCTTGCCTAGTTTAATGAACACATTAGTGGATTTTTCTGGTGAGTGAGGTTACGGTTATCGGAGGACTGTGGTCTGATCTCGGACACTATCAACCTAATTGTTAAAGATGTAGGGTTACAGTAAGGGCCAGGGATAAGGTGGTGGGCTTGGATCCACACCCTTGGGGTTCAGCCGTTACAAGATAGCTATAGCTAATATTTCCATAGACGCCAATTCAGTCGAAGCACAGATAGACTTGGACCACTCTGCAGCGTCGGTCATCCGAATGGAGAGAAAATTGCAGGCGCCATAGACCGGGAAAGATATATTCCGTCTACTTGAGCAGACGGAGCGATATGTCCTATCAGATAACATCATGAAACCGGAGTTTGCTGAACCTGCTTTAGTTTCCTTTACCAAGTACCAAGACACGGGTCGACACCTTGTAATCCACATCTATCCTCTATTTGAATCAGGCGACAATAGATTATGGATGGTAATGTTTATTAGACAGTGAATAGTGGAGTCCGGGGATCGGGATAGTAAATCTCGCTTGGCACCGACCCTGGCGCGTAAGCTGCCATTGCATCTGGCTCCACTTGAGTCTAGGAACTATGTCTCAATATTCGCTTGGTTTGCACGCGTGGTACTACTTTCAAGCTGCTTACTTAGGGATTCGTGCCCCGCCATGTTACTATTGCGTAGACTATCAACAGGCAAAGTCGAACGGTGGCGTGAATCTATTGGAAACAGATCTCCTCTCCCATTCGAAATGCCACAACACAAAAACTATTATACGAGAAACTTCATGCGACATGACCGTTACTGTACGTGGACCTCCAGGCAGAGTAGCAGAACACACGGCGCATCAGACGATTGACCATTCTATTCGCTATGCTCTACAGTGTAGGGAATCCAAATTTAGTCTGAGCGGACTAATATCGGCGCAATAGTTGGCCACTCAGCGAAGGGCCATGGCTGCTGTAGTCGTTGGAGGAATTACCTGCAAGGATGCCGGATAAAGGATTCAGTATGGATTAGGTAGCGTAAAGAGACCAGGGCCTGATGCATATCATTCCCAGATTCGGCCACCTAAAATGTGGATAGGTGAGTGGAGATGCGTTTGAATGGTTGTGTAGTCGAGACTAACTCTAACTCACGGGTAATCGGACCTCTCGGTTAGAAAGGGCAGACTTATGCCAAGTCTGAGTATCTGAGCTTTACTTTGTTTAAATTAGCGATGACGAGGTCCTTCGTAGGACCCTCACTTCCCCCGCAGAGTGGGGAACGGACCCTGCTGTATTGGCCTCAGACGCCGCGTGAGACGTGAGGCCTCTTTCTGCTCGAATACATAAATAGTCCTCTCCGCATTGCCTAACCCAACGCAAAGAAACCTGCATTCCAGAGCAATCTCTCCGTTTGGCGAAAAATTGGATGATGACCTTTTTCGCTTCGTTGGTCTGGGCAGGGCTCACTACTCTCGCTCTTGGAGAGTTGTACCCCCCATACTATGCAGACTTATCGTGGCAACCGGCGAGATCGCTATCCAACTGGTCAAATTTGACAGTGGAGACACGAACGGGAACCTTTATTGGCATGTTGAATGATACATACCCGGATGTCCGCCAATTTCTTCGGGTTCCCTATGCACAGGTACGCACCAAGCTAGCTATCAAGGATCAGAGAGGTTCGAGGCTAATATAATCAATTTATATTACTAGCCGCCAGTCGGGGATCTCAGATGGCTTCCGCCTCAAAAGTTGGCCAACTCATCGAAGAGAATCGACTCGACTCGCTTTGGACCTGGTGAGTGACCTGTGCTGTGAGCGTGACCGACCCGAGCAGCCTTCTGATGACCTCGATCTAGCCTGTCCGCAGTATGTTGCTTCTGGAAGCAGCATGTGGGCAGAGTACGCACCTACAAGCCTTCTGCTGAGTATTGGGGAGGCACCCAATCAGGGATCGACGGCTTGGTCCTCCTCAGAGGACTGTCTGTCACTAGCTGTGTGGACCCCAGCGTTTGCCAACAAGACATCAAAACTGCCTGTAGCTCTTTTTGTCACAGGTGGTGGCGGTGTCACTGGCGGAATTGAGGTTCCATCCCAGCTACCATCAAACTGGGTATCGAACTCCCAGGAACATATTGTCGTAACGATCAATTATCGGGTCAACATCTTCGGCAGTAAGATCATGTTGAACCACCCTCGCGCAAATGACTCGGGCTAATTGATTAACTATCACTCGATGTAGATCCTAAATCGAAAGCTCTGACTGAGACATCTCTGACTTTGTTGGATGTGCGGGCCGCAGTAGAATGGGTAGCCGAGAACATTCGGGCATTTGGTGGAGACCCAGACAATATCATGGTAAGAGATTCCAGTCCACGAAGATCATATTATCCTAATCAAAATTTTAAACCAGCTATGGGGACAATCCCAGGGAGCGGCACTCACTCACCTGTATACTCTTGCCTTTCCAGATGACCCTCGTGTGGCAAAATTTGGTGTCATATCCCAGCCGCCGTCGGTGACAATCAATCTCACTGAGACAGCGGATGTATACGAAGACTTCCACATTGTCGCGAAAGGCCTCGGGTGCAACTATGGAGACGACGCAGAGGCAGAGCTGGAATGTATGCGCCAAGTGTCATGGGTGCAGATTGAAGAGTATATCAACCGTTACAACGGCACCCAATCCATCGCCTTCTCTAATTATATCCGTTCGTCCACCACAACCCCATGATTGTATATTTTGGACATGAGCATCACTAACTAATTACGTGGATTAGCCGACGAAAAGTACATTTTCTCCAACGAGTCGGCGCGTTATGCTGCGGGTCGAGTCGCACGAGGCCCAGCCATCCGCTCGGACGCCTCACGAGAACAAGCCAGCACATCGGAGTCGACGACAATGGAAGTAGAAGGCGAATGGATCTGCACTGCATATGAGGACTCCATCCGTCGGTCCTCCTTAGGACTTGAGACGTACCGCTATGAATGGGCTGGAAATTTCTCCAATATTAGCCCAGTCCCTTACCTTGGTGCATTTCATTGGTCGGATCTGTTGATGATATTCGGCACATATATGACAGATGCAGGAAATATATCAGCTCTGGAAGTTGCGACGTCGAGGACCATGCAGGATCACATCTTGGCGTTCCTCAAGAATCCCTCCACGGTCAGCTCCACTGTGGGTTGGCCCGCGTTTAACGCTACTGCTCCATCGGGCGGCCTCATCCTCGAGTTCGGCAATGGCACCACTGTTAAAAATATCACGGGTGATTTCCTCGAGGCTGGGTGCTGGGACTCTTCAGTGCCATTCCCAATCTATGAGCCTAGAAAATGAGCTTGGGTTGATTGACAGCATAATCTCGTGTGGACGATGCGAATATACTAGTTTGTTGGCAGTCTGCTATCGTCGGTGGGGCTTCTGTGATTTCTTTGAGACTTCAGATATAATCTAGTCCAACCCGTGGTTAGCTTGATACTATATCGATGATTAGGTGACTTCAGTGACATGGCAGCTAAGCCTAGAAAGGGACTAGGTCATATCGATGCAAGATGCAATCTATTAGGGCAGCCTAAGAGCTAGGGGGCTTGGGTGTAACAGACCTACTCTATAGAGAGTAATACTATATAAGTAGATTTATCCGCTCAAAGCCTCCTCTAGGAGAAGAGCGGTATTTTGATGTCCATTCTTTAATGCCCAGAATAGCGGTGTCCTCCTGTTCCGGTCTTTGGAATTAACATCCACCTTCTCAGTCTCTAACAAAGCTCTCACCCCAGCTTCAAGTCCATTCCCTGCCGCCAAAGACAGTACAGTCCGGCCCTCTTCGTTATCTCTTGCTTCCAAGTCTGCATGTCCAGTAGCAATCAACACCTTCATGATTTCTTGATGCTTGTCAAATGCGGCCCAGGAAAGCGGCGTTCGTCCGTGGTATTTCTCTATGGTGTTGACATCCGCCTTGCCGGTTTCAAGCAGCGATTTGACAATCTCTAGGTGGCCCATTCCACACACCCACGAAAGGGCTGTGCGGTCTGATGTTTCATCGCGGATGTTTAGGTCAGCTTGGCCAGTGGCTAGGAGCAGCTTGACTACGGGTTTCATTCGCTCGAGAGAATTAAAGAGCGCCCAGGTCAGTGGCGGCCGATTTTGGTAATCAACGGAGTTGATGTCGACTTTGTTGGTTGCTAGAAGGAGCTGAACAATTTCTGCATGCCCAGCCCCCGCAGCCCATGATAGAGGCGATCGACCGTAATGTGAGTCTCTGGAATCGACGTCCACTTTACCAGTAGCAAGCAATAATCTCACGACTGGCACAATCCCAGCCTCTGCAGCCCACGATAATGGTGTCCGACCATCCTTTGGGCTGTCCAGAGCCAGGTTGGCCAGCATATCCCGCCCAATCCCAATTGCACTTCTCGGCCCTTCGTCCATTGGCTGGACATGGACAATGTTCTCAGCTGAACCAACAATACTCATTGCAGCCTCCAAATTGCGTGACGTGACAAGCAAAGATCCATGTTTTGCTTCTGGGAACGACGAAACAATCGGAATCGTCTCCGTCACGTCATCCTCCAGCAGAACAGGAAGCCCTGTCTCATGGGAAACACCCACGTTAATGACATTGTCCAGAATAACCAGCCATGGCCCATTCTCTTCGTCAGCTAGCCATTCCAATACCAGTTCCACGACATCGACGGCAGGGTCATCTTTTCCGGGTAGATCAAGACTGTTAGCTATATCTTGATAAGACCTTCTGTATCGGGAGATGCTGCTTGCGTTGACCCAGAATACGGATAGCCAGGGCACATGTTGGGGGCTTCGGTAAGCGTATTCAAGGGCAATGTGTGATTTACTGACTCTGTTAGCGAGTGTTATCATTGTTAGTATCACAATAATCTTCTCACCCTGTGTCTTTATCTCCAACGAGAGCTATGCTGAGAAAACGTTCAAATGCAGCAGCATCGTATCGTCTACCAAGCTCACTCATTATAGAATCACGACCAGTGAAGTTTCCATCTCTCTGGAATGGAACCAAGAAGAGTTTTCTGGGAGCTACAGCAATCAGTAAACGGAACATATACTTCGAAACGAACAAAGATTGATCACGGACCATTTCTCCTCATAGGTCTCGTTCTCTCCACATGCCCTGGTGGTATGACCGACAACAACTCCTTCGCATAAGCAGCCGCCACCCCGGCAGCATAAGGCTGCCATTTCTTGTTTTTATGCGAATCGGCATAATCACAAATGCCTCGGATCACCAGGCATGGGAAATTATTCACCAGCCCGGCAGCTTCCATCTCGAAGCACAACACCCCACCTAATTCTGCTGCGAGTCGGTCTCGTTCATGCGCGTCCTTGAGTACTTGATTCCCCGACGCAATTGTTCCATAATGCACTTTGATATCATGGCCTTCACGTTCGTCGCGTTGAATCGATTGTTCCTTGTCGCATTCCTCACATGTCATTCCCCCAGCATGATTATATGCCGCCTCGAACAGGACATCCCTGTTTTTGTCTTTATCGTGCGTGAAAGCGGGCATATCCTTAAGCCCTTCCATATACTCGGTCATCGTTCCCCTCCCCAGAAAATGCCTGGCCCGTAGCAGGGCCACCGCATTCAACAGAATAACCGGGGGCGCATTTAAAAAGCCCGTGCGTACGAACCCATTAGACGTGCTCTTCCCAAAGTCATACTGCACCACGCCCCCAGTTTGATTATCTGGTCGACCAACAACCACATCTCCCAACCGGATATCGTGCTCAGGACTGGGAACACCCCCACCGATTCCCACCATGAGGCCGAACCGGATGGATGGAAACGCAGAGCGCATCTGGATTGCCACGGTCGCGGCGGAGCTGGTGCCTATCTGTCCATCTGGGAGACAGGTAATCACAACGTTGTGCCCGGCAATATTTCCCAAAATGAATATGCTGGGATCGTTGATCTGCAGGCGTATGCTGGAGTGTTCGGTGTCTAGCATTGCTTGTGCGGCTGCTAGTTCGATTGGCAGAGCGCAGACCCAGCCTACGGTGTAGTCTTCGCGACGAGGTTGGCGTTCTCTCATTGTCGTACTACCGTTGCCTTTTTTCAATGATGAGGAAGAGGGTGTTGTTGGGGAGTTCTACGCGGTCTTACACATATCTGACAGCCTTGTCATATGCCTTATTTGTTAACCAGCTACTCAGCCTCGCGGGGCTCGGATGTGGCTCGTCCAATCATATTCCACTTCTATTGCTTAGCTATTTTGACACTCACATACTTCCCATAGCAGTAGCACATAGTAGCCTTGTACTCACACTTTTACTATTTATTGCTTGATGGTAACTGTCAGGCTATGTGCAATACATAATCGAGAACTTTGAAAATAATAATCTTTTTTTTTATCTCTCTAATGCTCCAGTAAACTCAATCTTGCAATAGAGCAACACCTATACAACAACTCATAAGCAGATCTAGACACAGGAAGATGTGAAGTAAGCAGATATTCTTCAGTAGTCTTTCTGCCCTTGATCTGCCATATATTTTGACCTTAAGAACTGATTTGTAGCCATTCTAGCTAGACTTGTACATGCTATTCCACCGGCCTAAGCATTCTGTTAGAAATAAGCAGATAACTGAGATGATCTTAGGCTCCTACACGGCTACTCATACTTGCTTACTTCTGAATAGCGGTGATAAGCATGGCAACGCTCGCCCGAAAGGCTCATAATACCTCGGCCTGCCTTGGCTAGAGACCAACTCCGAGCCTACCTACTCGGGCCTACAAACCTTCATGTCATTGAGTAGGCTAGTTGACTTTTGAACTTGCCCGCCCGTCCTTTGATCCCCGAGCTTCTACCGAGTCGTTTAACGACTCATTGATGTCTTCAGAACAATGACAGGCTGCTCTCGGCCATGGTAAGCAACATGCCTGTGGTGGATCACCCTGCAGATACCTGAGGCATTTTGGACCCTGCGTAAGAAGCCCGCTGACTAAGATTTTGACATTGCAGTTAAATAACTATTGAGTTAGGTCGTGACCTCACGGATTACCACAAGTAAAAATTATCAGAAAACTAGTATAGGTCTCTCATAAAGCTGCTATAGACATATTTGCAGTTCGCACCACCCAAAACCTCATATTAGAAACCCGATTAATGAGCCGGGGATAGTCATGAGGCTCATTGGCCATGTGCAGTGGAACGGGCCCTAACCGCCCCAGACTTTGACTGACGCTAACAAAACAACCGAAATGAACCATAAGCAGTCAGCAAATTATTAGAAAGCCAGCTGTTTTAGCGTCTTCGGACCCTGAAACTTGTCCTATCGAAGGCCTTTGGTGCAGTTCGAGCATTTTTCCGCCCCTGAGGCTATTGTGCACCCTCCACTTCGTGTCAAGCCTAAGCCTCGTTGGGGGCATTCACCCCTCCTGGAAGGAGACCGTGGTGAACTAAACTCCATTCCGAACCACATGGTCAAACTCTCATGTCCACTTACAACCCACCCAAATCTGAGATTCTTATGCTGGTTTTTATTAAAATATAAGCCGCCCGAGGATTTCCATGAGATCCGACTGATCATCAATCACACTCGTTTACACAACCACCATGGTATTCGCTCATTACATAGCAGCGGCATTCACCGTCGCCGCCTTGGCCGGTACCCCCGCTGCAATCGATCTCGACATCACCAGCGAACGTACGTTTCCTTCTCCCATCACTCATGCAAGCGAATCCCTCTGACGCCTCGCAGAATCCATCAAAGATGCTGCCGCCACAGCCGCCTTCAACGCCATGTCCTACTACACGGGCAACCAGACTGGCCAAATCCCCGGGTACATCAACCACACCTGGTGGGAAGGCGGCGTACTCTTCGACACCATGATCCGGTACTGGTATTTCACCAACGACGCCTCTAACAACGCCGCCGTCAGCCAGGGCATGTATCACCAACGTGGCGCCGGGAACGACTACATGCCCAGCAACTGGTCTTCATACATGGGTAACGACGACCAGGTAGCCTGGGGCCTCGCCGCCATGACAGCGGCAGAGCTGAACTACCCGGAGGACGCTGGAATGCCGTCGTGGGTGGATCTAGCGGAGCGGGTATTCGATGTGCAATCCGCCCGCTGGGACAACAGCAGCTGCGAAGGTGGTCTCCGCTGGCAGATTTGGCCTTACGAAGTCGGATATACAATGAAGAACTCTATGAGCAATGGGGGGTTGTTCCAACTCGCGGCGCGGTTGGCTCGGTACACGAATAACCAGACCTATGTCGATTGGGCAAACACAATATGGGACTGGAGTACCGTGATTCTAGTGAATCAGGAAAGTTGGAACGTCGCTGATAGTACTGATGCGGCAAACGGTTGTACGAACCTCGGTAACAATCAGTGGTCGTATAACTACGCAGTGTATCTGAGTGGCGCGGCATATATGTACAACTACGTAAGTAGTTATGCACGCTCTGGGTTTGGGACAGAGGACTAACAAGAGATAGACAAACGGAGAGACCACGCAATGGAAGACAGCCTTGGATGGGTTGTTGAACAGTACCTTCGAAACATTCTTCCCCGCCAAATTCGGTGGTGAGATCATGTCTGAGGTGCTTTGTGAACCCGCGAACGTCTGTAACGACAACGAGATAACTTTCAAGGGTCTTCTGGCGGAAAGTCTCACCCTCACGAGCATGCTTGCACCATATACATCATCCGACATTCTGCCGCGCCTACAAGGCTCGGCTGTTGGCGCTGCGAAGCAATGCAGTGGCGGAAGTAGTAAAACAACTTGTGGACAGCACTGGTACAAATCAAGCTGGGATGGCACGGAGGGCATTGAGGAGGAAATGAGCGCAACGAGCATCTTCACGTCCAACCTGGTGGCGTATAAGCACCTGTCTCCGGCTACGAAGACTACGGCGACAAATGTGACCTCCTCAGCTGGTACAGATACTGGAAATGGAACGACTACTGCCAGCACGGCAGCGGGAAGCAACAGTGTTGTCCCGACAAACGGTGCCAATTCTCTGTCTTGCGGACTCTTTGGTGTTGCTCTTGCTATTGTCGCGGGCGCTTTTGCCATTGCTTAAGTGCTTAAGCCTAGCTTACATAGCTAGACTCGATTACCCGAATCCAGCGCGGTCAGAGCACTTTTACCGGACTTGATGGCTTGTATGGGTGGAAATCATTTATATGCCTTTTACTATATTGTAATAATACATCTGTTGTCGCTTCTTGACCCGTCCTCTGAAGCCGATCAACGATCATTCTCACAAAGCGGAACAGAATTTCGGTCATGAGTGTTCGTCCAGCTTTACAGCCCCGAACGAAGGATCTAGCGTCCGTAGTAGGGTCCCCGCAAGAGCAGGATCTAGGCAGCATTCTAGGCAACATACCCCTATTTACTGATACCATTGGCTTGTCAATTGACCTTGTTTATATCTTTCTCGCCCCTCATACTCAATAAAACAGCTAAGAAGCACACTAGGATAAGTCTAATTCGACCGGCGAATAAGAATTCGTCCTCTCTACTCAACACGAGCCCGATCCACTCTCGGTCTTTGCAACAATCGCAAAACCCGCTTTAAGAAGCTTCGCAATCACCCATCATCGTCATTATCTCGGCGAACCAAACCGTGGACACAACTAAACAGGAACACAATGAGAATCAGCCATAAACAACCAGAAATAACCCTATACCGCGGCTTCCCCGGCACGGGGATCTACACATGGTCACCCTTCGTCACGAAACTTGAAGTCCGGCTCCGATTTAGAGGACTATCTTATCGCATTGAAAGTGGGTCTGTTCGCGCGGCGCCACGGGGAAAAGTGCCTTATGTTACTATTTGCGATGAAGACGAATCTGGGCCGGATCAGGCTCGGACAATGTCTGATTCGGATCTCATTATACAAAATCTTGTCGATGATGATATCCTCCCAGGCCTAAATGGTGATTTGAGTGTTCAAGACAAAGTTCTTGACTCAGGGATTAGAGCGTTGTTAGAAGACAAGTTGTACTTTTTGCAGGTATTTTCACCATCCATCCCCTCTGTACATCGTGTTTTGTTGACGAAAAGAAATAGGGTCATGAAAAATGGATTGACAATTACTATTCCATGCGCGAACATATCCTAGCTTCACTGCCGTATCCTGTCCGGATAATCGTGGGACATCTCATCTACCGGAAACAGTATCAGACGTTGCATGGGCAAGGGACATTACGCTATTCGGCAGAAGAACGGAGCGCATTCAAGAAACAGATATGGGAGGATATTAACGCCTTATTAGAGGAATCCAGGTTGCAGAGTGATCGCAAGGGACCATATTGGGTGCTTGGGGGTCAGCATCCGACTGAGGCCGATGCTACGCTGTTTGGGTTCATTGTTGGGGCTTTGATCTGTACCGCGTAAGTTTCCTGTTTGAGGAATAGTAAGTTTGGAGGTGCTAATGATGTACAGATGTCCTGAAACGCAGGCCATCGTGAGAGGGTTACCAGTTCTGGTAGATTACGCGCATAGGATTCATGATCGGTATTTTCCGGATTATGACCTTTGGGCGGAGGACTAGTTTCAATCTTGTTCTTAATTGGCATCCTTAATTGGAAGTTGTGTCAACACATGCCATATGTTGCTGAGTGCGTTGGGGACAAGTGGGTTGGTCAGCCATAACAGGACAATATGTGGGTGATCTAGATCATTCCGGAAACACCGATACGGTGAAAATAACCCGCGGAGTGCATTAGGTAGATAACCTGCTAGACGCCATGAACAGTAAGGTGCCACGAAAAGACTGCGAGCTTATAACCTATCTTAAGATGATAATACTCCTAAGGATCACTACATCATCAACACCTACCACTTTCTAGACCCTTCCACAAGACATAGGCCCATAGCCAAGAGCCTCTAGATAATCTCTAGGTAAGCATTGCCTTGAAACAAGGCCATGCAGATTCAACCATCTTATCAACCAGACGCCGGAAGGGACCACTCCGCGGACCCGCCTCGGGCCGACGTCATCCTGAAGTCAACCCGATTCATCGCCGAGCTCTGAAGATGCCGGTCCTACTGTTCTCGGAACATTGTGTACCG